GCCGAGATTGCCCTACCCCTCACAGAACTACTCAAAACAGGCAAAGGAGGAGGGAAGCTGCGACCAGGCCAACCACTAGCATGGATGATGGGATGTTAAACAGCTTTTAAGAATTTAAATGACTATTTGCTGCTGAAACGGTCCTAAAGGGTGCTGTACTAATAAAAAGACTTTAAGGTAAACAATGCCTCTAGGTTCTTTAAAGTATTCCCCTAATCAGAACCATGACAACAGCCTTCTGAAACGCGAACTGCAATCGCCCCTTCCTTCCCCTCCTCCAATTATGGTAGAAGGTGAACAACATTTGAAATCAAGGAGATTCTAGATTCCAGGAAGCATCATGGTTCCACCCAATACCTAGTAGCATGGAAGCATCTGCCTCCTTCCCAAAATGAATGGGTCCAGAAACGTCACGTTGGAGCCCCCAGATTACTTAGTAAATTTCATGCTGCATATCTAGATAAACCAGACTAACCTTTGTCTACCTCTTTCTCTTTTATTTTCTACAGATGGATCTCCCTTTTTTCTAAAGGGGGCAGCATGTTAGAACCCATTTTTTTCTTGGGAGGGTATACTTTAATTCTTTTCATTTCTTTCTGTGGGTTCTGCCATTCTCCTGAGGGGGAGGGGGAAGACTCTGTGGGATGCTTTCTGTTTTGCTACAATGTATCCTTTCCAATGTTTCTACATACATTCTTTTTGAACTGTCTCTCCCTTGTTGTCAACATGGGGTGAGAAAGGAATGTGCCTCCAGCCATCTGGCTTATCTCTCACTGCGGAAGAGAAAGGTGCGAAGACCCAACAACATCTTCACAGGCATGGGAATGGGTTCTGTTATCACCTCCATTCCCACAGCGGACTTAATTCCTGGGGATTAGCTCTTTTAAACTGACCGGATGAACTATTGGGGTAGGGTTTGCTTGGGACTCTTTTAAACGATTGATCTGAGTGGGAAACCCTCAGATCCTGCCTTCTATGCCTGCTATCAGCTTCGCCTAATAAAAGTTCCTTTTGGAATGAAACAGTTCCAAGAGTTCTGCTTTCTTGGGATGAGGTTTTGAAGTGGGCCCTGACACATGGCTCCTGGCATGGAATGGCTGCTGGTATTGGGGCTAACCTGGTTAAAGAGGAATCCCCTAATCAATTGGAGAGAGGGGCAATTAAAGTTCCCAAAGAAGAGAACTCCTTCCCAGGGCGTGTGTGATTGTAAAGTAGGGGGCTCGAAATGGGAGCTGGTGTAGGCACTGAGTGAGCAAGAGCTGCAGAGCATTCTGAGAGAATACCGTGATATGGCCAAGGTTTTCAGTGAGGTCGGATGAGCTCCCCTCCTCACCAACCTACAGACTGTGCAATTGAGATCATTCCAGGGGCCAAGCTACCAAAATTGAAGTTACAGTCTAGGACTCTCAAGGAGTTAAATGAGCTACTAAAGTTAATTGACAAAAACTAAGCCCGAGATTTTATTCAACCAGCCAAACCCCGGGTGGCAGCACGTTCTTTTCTGAGAGAAAAAGGATGGATCTCTTCATCTCTGCATGGATTATAGATGCTTGGACATGGTGTCAATGAAGAATGTGTACCCTCTGCCCTTCATGTTGGCTCACTTGTTGAAGAGGAAATTTTTTTCAAAGTTAGATCTGCAGGAGGCATACTATCATATCAGAACCAAGAGGGAAAACTGCTTTCAACTGCCCCCTGGGTTATTTCAAATTCAGGGTGCTCCCCTTTATATTACAGGGAGCCTGGCAGTGTTCATGCAACTGATCAACAAAATCCTCCATGAACACCTATATAAGGGGGGGGGTTTGGTGTACTTGGACAATATCCTAATCTATACCAAAACCAAAGCAGAGCATGTGAAGCTGGTTAGGACAATCCTAAAGAAGCTCCGCTCTGCCAAATTATATGCCCAGTCTGAATTTCACCAAGACAAGATTGCCTATTTGGGCTACCGCATTTCGCACAAGGGGGTGGAAATGGATCTAGAAAAAGTGCAGACCATTCTGGAGTGGGCCCCTCCCCGCACCAGAAAGCAATTACAGAGTTTTCTGGGGTTCACTAATTTTTACAGGCAATTGAACCCCTCATTTGCACAGATTGCACTCCCCATTACAAATCTGCTGAAAACGAAGGGACAAAATAAGCTGAGGCCCAGCCAGCCATTAAAGTGGAGTGTATAGTGCCAAGCCACATTTGAAAAGCTTAAAGAGCCTTTTTTCTGCGGAGCCGGTGTTGAAACACCCAGACCCGGAGAAAGTTTGTAATTCAGGCTGCTGCCAGTAATGTAGCTGTAGGCACGATACTGCTTCAAAAGAACCAGGGGGATGAGTTGCAACCCTCCCCTACACATCCAAGAAACTGACTGAAACAGAACAGCAGAGGGTTGCTTGGGAGAAGGAAGCTTATGCGATACAGTGGGCCCTTCTTACTTGGAGACATTTTTTGGAAGGGAGTAAAGTCCCCTTCCAGGTTTAGACTGATTGTAAGAATCTGGAAGCACTAAAAACCCCCAGGAAATTGTCTCTGAAACAGGCACGCTGGGTCCAGCATTTCCACTGATTTAACTTCTCCATCCACTACCAAGGGGGAAATTTTTCTGGCAGATGCATTGTCAAGAATGCCACAGTATAACAATGTGAAGTCATGGTAGTTAAGCCTTTGTTTTCCCTGCATCAATTAGTGGCTCCAGTCACTACGAGGGTGCAGTCTAAAGGCACCCTGCCCTTAGACAACACAATGGTTGGGGAGTTCAAAAAGGCGCTGGAGAGTGGTTTTGGGGCCATAAAAACCTTTGTTCAGTGCATTAGTGGATTAGCCTGAGTTGGTGGGAAACTATATGTTCCCATCAACCAGAGACTGAAGATCATGCAAGCATGCCACAACTCAAAACTAGCAAGGTACTTTGGGTTTGTAAAAACCCTTCACTTGTCTAAAAGACAATTTTGGTGGCCCTCTTTAAAAAAGGACATTGAGAATTATGTGACCAGCTGCCATACCTGCACAGCGACTAAACAGAGGCAAGGAAAAATACCTAGACTTCTACAGTTGGTAGTGAGCCCTTTAGCATCCTGGAGAGAGATCTCTATGGACTTTATTCTGGAGCTACCTGAAAGCGCAGGAAATACTGTCATTTGGATCATTACTGATTTATTCTACAAACAAGCCCATTTTACCCTGTGTCAGAAGATTCCAATTGCAAAGACTTTGACTAAATTGTTTGTGCAGCATATTTATCACCTGCATGGGACCTGACAGTGCATAATATCGGACAGGGGTGTCCAATTCATCTCCAAGTTCTAGAAAGCCTTTCTGGACCTTCTGGGTTCAGGTCAGGGCCTGTCATCTAGTCATCATCCTCAAATGAATGGAGGGACAGAATGAACGAACTGTTCTAGAACAATACCTTTGTTGTTTTATCAATTATCAACAAGATAATTGGACTGATCTGTTACCATTTGCTGAAGTAGCCTATAATAATGTGGTGGACTCCAATAATGGTTTCATTCCTTTCCAAGTGGCTAATGAACAAACTTTCATCCCTATCCTGAGTTGCCTGCGAACTTGCCATTCTCCCCCCCCTATTGAATGGGTTCATTAGTTGCAGAACATTTGGCTGGTTGTTAGAAAAATTCTCGACGAAACCAGGGAGGCATATAAGGCTCAGGCAGATAAAAAATGTATGGAACTGAAGCCTTTACGAATGGGGGATAGAGTTTATTTTTCCACCAGGTTTTTGCAATCGCTGCAACCATCCAAAAAGTTAGGACCGAAGTATATTGGCCCTTTCCCCATTAAGTGCATTATAAATCCTGTCATAATGGAATTGAAACTCCCTAAGAGTTTACGACAAATCCATCCGGTGTTCTACTGCAGTTTGCTGAAACCCAAAATCATGTCTTGGTTAAGGCCTGTTACTGCTCCTCCTTCACCACCACTTATCATGGAGGGTGAGCAGCATTTTGAGATCAAAGACATTTTAGACTCTTACAATCATCATAGTTCTACTCAGTATTTAGTTTTCTGGAAAGACCTTCCTGCTTCAGAGAACGAGTAGGTTTATAAGAAACATGTTAGAGCCCCTAAGTTGCTTAAACGCTTTCATGCACGCTATCCTGATAAACCTGATTGATGTGTTTGTTTTTCCTCTCTCTCCCTTCCATATTTGTTTTGCAGGTGGATTTTTTGTTCTATTAGAGGGGGGTGTCGGACCCCTCCAATGTATTTGCCTGCTTATTATTGCTTTGCTGTGTATTCCTTTTGGGGATCTGTCATTCTGGTGGGAAGGGAGCTGCTTGCCTGGGAATGTATTTGCCTGACTCTGCTCTGTCCTCTTTGAAATGTCCTTCCTTTGTGAGAAAGGAAAATGGCCTGAAAATATCTGCCTTATTTCCAGACAATGGACCCTGGGACCATTGGGAAACAAAAGCGAGAGAAACCTTGAGATGGGCGCTAAATCACTAGGTTATCAAAACAACCTAGCATCTACGGATTGTTTGGATTTCAACCAGATGGTTGAACATTGGGGGAGGAGTGCTGAATGGGCATTATGATGGGGGAGGAGTGCTGAATGGGCATTATGATGTAACCTTTTACATGCATATTCTTCAGACCTTGCTTTGCTCTATTGCTATCTCTAATTCTCAATAAAAGTTCCTTTTGAAACAATGCCTGTTTCAAGATTTCTGCTTTCTTGGGAGATCTAGTTGAGGCAAAAAACCACCTCTATAAGTTGTATTTTGACCATTTGGACCTTGACACACAATATTAATTTAGTCTCTGTAACTTGACCAGTTGGGTCCAGTCTCCATCAAGGGCAAGAACAGTGAGATGCAGAATTGGTAGCAATGAATTTCTTTCAAGAAGAATATCAAAGAATACAATATTTTTTACTTTGATTTGGCAGTTTAACAATGATAATTATGGATTCATTTTGTAATACATATTGAACAAATACTTAATTTTTTTTTTCATTTTGATTTTTCCCCTTTTTTCTTTTTCAGGATTGATAAAAAAATAGCCAATGGTAAAATGAAACAAATACAGATACAACACAGATACATGTGAGCTGTTTTATTTATTTTACCTTGCGGCGCCTTAAAGCAAAGTGCCACCAACAGTGTGTGATTTACAATGGATCTAACCATTGTGAAAGAAAGAAAACACAGTTTTAAAATGTAACAAACAATATTTAGGTACAATTACAAAGAAATTGTACAAGAGAAACCAGCTTCTACTTTTTTGTCTTTTCTCCATGGAAGTTGAGTCATGATGGTGAAAAGAAAAGAACTGAAAGAACTGACATTGAAGATGGTTGATCTTTTACATTTTCCAGAAAACAGTAGCCAAAGAAAGACAATGGAACAAGATGACACTAAGTAATATCCAAAAATGTAAGGATGAGTGCCTGGAGAGATATGATAAGAATGTGAAGATTTACAATAGAAAAGGAGAAAAACTTCACTGGATGATGTCAATGAAGCCACGTTACATTGATTTAAATAAATGAGGGTCCTTAACACCCAAATTACTGGGCCAATGATCCAAGAAATTGCTAAAAAGTTTGCAAAGGAGCTCGGGATATCAGATTTCTAAGCATCAAGTAGTTGGCTCAAGAAATTTAAACTGTGACATGAGATGTCCCAGAAAGTATTGTGTGGTGAATCTAATGGAGTTCCAGTAGAAGTTGTTGAAGAGTTCATTGAAAAGTTTCCAGACTTTGCCAGTGGCTTCAAAGATGATAACATCTTTATGCAGAGCGTGGTCTCTTTTTCAAGGCAATGTCTGACAGGAGCCTCGTTATGAGGGGTGACAAATGTAAGAGTGGACAACTTTCTAAAGAATGTTTCACAGTTCTGCAGTGTGCCAGCTTAACTGGAGAGAAGCTAAAACCTTTGGGGATTGATAAATCGGCAAAGCCACACTCATTCAAGAACCTGCAGCCCAAAGACCTTCCTGTCACCTGGAAGTTTTTGGGTCAAATGGACCCAACAACTTGACCAGAAGGTAGGGAGAGCTCTAGCAGAGGACAACTTTCAAAAAATCCATTCAGCCTTTATATCAGCCAACTCTTCTCAAGATTTACTAGAACTATATAAAAACCTAGTTCACAAGCTACAACCACTACTAGCACGTGCCCCTAGCTTCTCAGCTAAGAGACCTTGCATTGCCTCCAAACCATGGTTTGACAAGGACGTAGAAGCCAAGAATGCTCTTACTTGGCATATAAGATGTATAAAACTGAGAGAGGAAATGGCAATAAAACTACCCTTAAACATCTTCTCACAGTCAAAAAACAATTTAAGCAATTAATTGCATTTAAGAGATAAGACACAAGGTCTTTCTGGAGCACTCATTGAGGCAACTTGGGAATTTAACTTTTGAGGGATGTGTGAAGATCCATTGAGTGAGAGAAGAAGGCATACAATGAAGGATTTACCTAAGTGGCTCCCGGTTTCAGAATCTGAAATGAAATCTCTTATTGGCCAACTTAGAACTGGGAAGGCCCCAGGAGCTGACTTCATTTCTGCTGAACTATTAAGGAATAATATGGCCTAGTGGATATCTGTCCCAGCAGTGCTATTTACCTATATCGATACCACTGGTCATGTCCCAGAGGATTGGGGCCTGGCAACTGTTGCCTCAATTTTTTAAAAGGGAAAGAGAGACAACCTTGCTAATTACAGACCAGTAAGTCTACCAAATATAATCAGCAAATTCTATGCCAAACACTTCCAAGATAAATTAAAGGAGTGACTGGATCTTGAGAACTTGATTGCTGAAGAGCAAGCTGGGCTTAGAGAGGGGAGAGGCACCATAGATCAGTGCTTAGGCCTCCATCATTTGATTGAAAAATATGCATCAAATAGATCTATATCATTATATGCTGCCTTTATAGATCTCAAAGAAGCTTTTGATATGGTTATCAGGACTAAGCTATGGAAGAAGTTGGAAGCTGCTTCAATTGATCATAGAATTCTCCATTTGTTACGTGTCTTACATAGTAAAATATCCCTCAGGGTTAGATGTAATATGCAAGGATCACTCTCGAAGTCAGTCCAAACACAAAAGAGGGTTACAGAGAGATGCATTTTGGCCCCCTTGCTTTTCAATTTCTATATTAATGACATGGTAAAATGATTAAAGAAACCAAATTATCATCCCTCAAAAATAGGCCTTTATGGACGGGGAAAGTGTAGTAATCAGTCCTTAGTCATTGAAGCGTAAAGAAATGGCTACCCACACGCAGCCTTTATTTGTTTATATAGAGCTTTACAAAATAAAAAAGTTACTGCATGGCAATAGCATTTCATTGGCTAAAATCCTTTACCAATCCTCAAGAGTAAAAAGCTAGAGGCCATAAACAGGGAAACTTGTTGTTCACCAGCCAGCCTTATCAAACTGGCAAGGTCACACAGACCTGCGCACTTTCACGTCACTATAGTGATGTGAGGGGGGGAAGATAGATGCAGAACAAAGACACAAGCATTGGGGGGGCAGTTTTCTGGACACGACTTTTGCCTGTCTATCACCTCTACATCTCTCTCCTTTTTGTTTTGTTAGACGAAATATCGCCGTAAGCGGGGTTAATAAAAGGATTATAATCAGGAGAGGAGCATCCTTGCAGTTGTTTATATAGGGCCAAAACTTGACCCTGAGGCAATGTGAGAGAGGATCTGCTGGGATTTAAAGCTCTAATACATATATTGCAAAATGAAGGAATACATTGCATGAAACAACATCCACCAACCAAAATAGCACAAGTTATGACTGAATAACGTAGGATATTTCCCAGTAATCCTGTGGGTAACCAAGCCCAAAGGCTTTCCCACCAAGATCCTAAAGTATCCATTTTCAAATTAGAGGCCAAATTGTGTAAAATATCAATTTGATGCTGAATGGTTCGTGAATTATCAGAAATATTGAAACAACACATGCCCTCAAAACTTTCACAACCCAAATGTTGGCGTAGAAGCAAATAATCAATTGCGGCACAATTTTGTAAAATAGCCTTTCTCAAATCGGGCAGCTCATGGTTGATCGCTGAAATAGCTGAAGAAGTAGCATTAATTGTTTTTGCTAGATTACATGCAATAGCATTAATGTTGAGGTGAGCACGAACAGCAAGTCCTGGTACACCCACTAAAGATATAGCCAATGCTACATATTCTGCTTGATTAAGTAAGGTTGTCTCAGAGTCACAAGTATTGTCTAGCGTAACCGCACATCGAGAACGGCTTGAATGAACTTGTTGTTTGGAAAGCAAAACAGGAATCAGCCGGCTGAGACAACACTGCGCTTCACTAATATTAGCAGGAATATAATTAAAAGTTTCTTGACCACATGTGAAAAACCATCCTTGCGGTAGCCAAACATGTCCAAAATGAAAAGAAGTCTCTTCAAAAGCTGTACAGTTTAAAACAGGTGAGCTAATGCGACGACAGTGAGGTTTTTTATTTGAAGAAGTACAATTAACTATTTTTGCACGTTATATTTGCAGGAATTGCTACCACTGGGGTGTGTAAAGCAATAGCATCAGGGGGTGGATAATAAGCAGTAACCCCCCCATCTAGATATAGCTTTATAGTTAAAGTTTCCATTTAATAAAATTGTACTATAGTCAGTGAAGTTTTGAATTACTGCAGAAGGGGTGCAAACAGGAACTAAACATGTAGAAAGCAAATTTTCCATGTCATATGCTTCAGATAAGCAAAAGGCATCATTGTGTGTGATGTTAGCCAGCTGCACCCATAGATTTTGTTTCATTCGTTGCTCGAATGATTGTTTGGGTGGAATGACAGCTGCTGTTGCCATAGGGCAGATGTTAATGATCAGACACAAGCAAATGATGGCTAAGGAATTTGCAGTTAAAACCGCAAAAATGGCAGCGCACAGGTTCTCTGGGGTTTGCTCTGCTTGTTGCTGCTGCAGCATCGCCTGTGCTTTGGCAGTCAAGTTTTTCACATCTCCCCATGTCACTGGCGCCTGGCATGTCGGGATCGGATTGGTTGCTGTGCCATCTGTAGAGTCAACTTGGCCATTTTCGGGGCTGGATCCAGGGACTGGTGCCATGACATCCTTGGCTGGGCGAACACAATGCGCTGGAATCCACACCGGTCCTGTTGGAGTAAGTACAGCAGCATAGCCCCACCCCCAAGTGATCAGAGGGACAGGTCCCAACCATGTTTTGTCAGGTAAAGCCCGATAATATACTAGAGGGGGAGGCAAGCTTGTTTTTTGTTGGAAGTGCCTCTGATAAGCAGTTACATTTTGAATAGAAACATTCAATTGGTTTAATGTGAATAACACTTTTTGGACCTGCTGTGTTTATCCATGACAAATTGGGTACCCGAGAGCCCTCCTTTTTTGTTTGTGAAGGCAGTCCTTAAAGGTCCGATTAGCACGTTCCACGATGGCTTGACCCATGGAATTATAGGGAAGACCATGAATAAGGACAATATTCCAGGTTGTACAAAATTGTAAAAAGGCCACTGAAGAATAGGCTGGCCCATTATCAGTTTTTAAGGAAGAGGGCTTACCCAAGGCTGTAATAGCCGAAAAAAGATGAGAAATAACATGTGCAGCTGTTTCCCCTCGTTGAGGCATGGCCCAAATTGCTCCTGAATAGGTATCAATGGATAAATGAACACATTTCCAGGGAGCTAAAGAGGGAACATGGGTAACATCCATTTGCCATAGTTGATTAGAGGCAAAACCACGGGGATTAACTCCCGTGTCCCCCGATGGAGATGCCCCAGAACATTGGGGACAGAATAATATAATTTGCTTGGCTTGGTCAATTGGAATATGGCAAGCTTATGCCAGCCCTCTAGCATTTTGATGAAAAAAGGAATGACTGAAAAAAGGGTCTGAAAATAGCGTGGGGAAAGCATGAACTGCGGCATCTGCCTGACTGTTGCCTTCAGAAAGAAGCCCAGGAAGAGAAGAGTGACTGCGTATGTGAGAAATGAAATATAAATGCCTCCTATTTTGCAGCAGCTGCTGCAAAGTTAAAAACAAAGCCATGAGATTGGGATCAATCCTGGGCGTGATGTAAGCACCTGAAAGATTAAAAATACGTCGACACAAATAATGAGAGTCAGAGATTAAATTAAAAGGCTGTTGAGAAAAGGTGTGAAAAGCCAAGATAGCAGCAGCTAATTCTGAGCATTGTGGTGAAGATTGTATTGCAGTGTAGGACACTTTCCAGGTATCATCATGAGGATCCTTGTAAGCAATTGCTCCTCTCGTTTTTCCTCCATCTGAAAAGACAGTAGAAGCTTGTGGCAAGGGAGAAGGAGAATGCAGTGGGCGGACTGGAAAGGAAGAAGTTATTAAACAAGTAAGTCGAGGATCTTTAGGCAGATGATAGGAAATAGAACCTATATAATCAGTCAAAGAGCATTAAAGAGATAAATTATTTTGTGAATAAAATTGAAAATCAGACTTTGGAATAGGAAGAATAATATTAATTAAATCAGTTCCATTTCGACGACAAGCTCGAGTGCGTCCCAAGGTTATGATTTCAGCAATAGTCTGGATAAAAAGGTAGAATGTTTTGTGATGGGGAATGGGGTAGGTACAGCCATTCAATGCAATATACCTTTTGTACTTCTATCACAGATAGTACTCTGGTAGGTAATTTACTAGTAGGAAAAATCAAAAGTGTTAACTGACAATTTTTATGTGGAATTCTGTCCACAAATTGAGTATTCATGATGTCATTAATTTGTGCAACTGTGGCAAGTGCCACAGGCGGAACTACAATGAGATCTCCAGGTTGTTTTCCTTTGGTCAATAAATCAAATAACGGACTGAGCAAATTTGTAGGCAAAGAAAAATATGGGCGAACCCAATTAAGGGTACCCAATAATTGTTGCAAATTGACCAATGAAATAATTTTGGGTAAGCTCAAACGAGGAAAAACTGGGGCAGAATAAGATTGCAACATTTTATGGCCTAAATAGAGATAAGGAGCATGTAGCTGTATTTTTTCTGGAGCTATCTGCAAACCATAAAGACCTAAATCATTTTGCATTTCTGAAAGCCAATTAGATTGTATTTTTGGTGCTCCAACTAAAATATCATCCATATAATGATATACCAAAACCAATGGGTGACGTTTGTGGAAAGAATCTAATGCTGCAGCGACATAAAGTTGACACAAGGTGGGGCTGTTTAACATTCCTTGTGGCAAAACTGTCCAGTGACAACGTTTGCTAGGTTCTGAATGATTCACTGCAGGCACAGTAAAGGCAAATTTTTCCTGATCAGGGGGACATAGAGGGATGGAGAAAAAACAGTCCTTTAAGTCAATTACCATTACTTCATGATCTTGAGGAATCAAATTAGGATTAGGCATTCCACACTGTAAAGGGCCCATAGGTTGAATACAAGTATTAACAGCCCTTAGGTCATGAAGGAGACGCCATTTACCACTTTTCTTTTTTATAACAAAAACAGGAGTGTTCCATGGACTAGTGGAAGGCATCACATGACCAGCAAGCAGCTGATCGTTAACCAGCTGGTGAAGAGCCGTTAATTTTTCATGTGATAGGGGCCATTGATCAATCCACACTGGCTCTTTAACCAGCCAAGTCAATGGGAGGGCAGTAATCTTAGTCTTCCATGGTGAGGTTGGCACCCAGCTTACTGAGCAGATCACGTCCCCAAAGGCTGACATGAATATCTAATATGAAAGGACGGACCTGAACAACCAATGCTGAATTGGGCAAATGGGCTGAAAGAAATTGTGCACTTTGATGTGCACTTTTACGACCTCCCACACCCCACACACTTGGACAGGGCTCAGTTGGCCAGGTGGCTGGCCACTGCTTTGCAGAGATCGCTGAAACATCCGCTCCACTGTCTAAAATTCCTTCAAATGGCTTACCCTGAAGCACAATGATCTGACGGGGTCGTTGAAATGTGATTGGGGTAGTGATGGCTGCTATAACAGAAGTGGCTGGGTTAGTAGAACCGAAGCCTCCTTCCCCTCTCTCTTTTAATTTTCCCCACCGGGACAAAATAAGGCAAATGCAAGAGCTGAGCAGGGCTGGTGTAAATGGGCAAAATTTGAGGCAAATTGGTCCACAATTGAACATAAATAATTCCAGTATAATCAGAATCTATAACTCCAGGGATGACAAAAATGCCTTTCTTGCCCATGCTGGACCGTGGAAGGACAAGCCCTACATAATTTTGTGGCAGGGGGCCTGAAAATTGAGATGGATTACTTGAACCTCCCCAGGAAATTTAAATATCACTTCCTCCTGCAGTATCAAATCAATTCCAGCACTACCTTTAGTAGCTGCAGGAGTATTATTTATTGTTGGTCTGCTGTCTCTGTTTGGACTGGGGCCAGAGACTGGCCCGGACAGCCGTTTCCCGACCGACATTCTCTTGCCCAATGATAACCCTTTTGACACTTTGGGCATTTTGTTTTTGGCTTTGATCTCAGCTTGAAAAGGGAGTGAGGGAAAAAGGAGTGAGATGCTGCAGACATACCCCCCCCCCCGCCTTCCTACATTCCCTTTTAAAATGACCGGGTTTGCCACAATTGTAGCAGTTTCCTTGAGGCTTGCTGCCTAGAGATAAAGCAGCTGCCAATTAATTTGATAAGAAGCTATGCCGATGTCTTGACAAGCCTTTATCATATCTGCCAATTCAGGATCTTTCCCCAGACCAATAATTGCCCTTCGACATTCAGAAGTGGTGTTGTCTTTTGCCAATCTCATTAACAATTCCTGCTGGGCGTCAGGATTGTCTATCTGCCTTCGTAAGGCGTCCTGTAATCTGTTAATAAAATCAGGATATGGCTCAGTGGCTTTTTGCCTGATACTAGAGAAGGCCTGGTGAGGCTTGCCAGCAACAGGCACTTTTCCAAAGGCTCTAAAGGCACATTCAGAAGAAACCTGTAAGATGGCAGCTGGTAGAACAACCTGTGCATCAACTGGAGCAAAGGGTCCAGAACCATACAATTGATCAGCAATATAGGCACCCCCAGAGTTAAGAGCACACACAACACATTGATGTCTAAACTCACTGTCCCAAACTACATATTGTGCTGGAGTAAGCAACATGCGAAAGGTAGTTTTCCAATCTTCAGGTACCAGGATATGATTTCTCATAGTGGCTTCCAACATTCCAATTACATATGTACTCCCCAGTCCCATATCTCCAATTCCTTTTCTTAGCTCTGTTAAAATTGCATATGACAAAGGGCGATACTCAACTATTTGAGCCCCATTCTGATCTACTTGCCCCGTAGCATGTACTGGACAAACAGAAAGCATTTCAGTAATTTCTTCTATATTTCCCCCCTCTTTTTCTAACTGTGCCTCTAATATTTTTCTGATGGGAGTGTATGATGGCTTTGAGGAGGCAAAAGAATTAATCTCTTCAGAAGGAGCTGAAGATCCAATTAAAGATGCTTTAGGAGGGAAAAGCTTTACTTGGCTGTAACTAGGAGGGGGGCTGGTAGTTAACCTCCTCCCCTCCGCAGCATCTGAGCCATATTTTTCCACTGCCTGTCGGCACTGATACCACTGAATTAAAATCTGTGCTGAAGCCCGGGGCTCTTGATGTAAAATATGCCCTATCTTTCCCCAATCTTGTAACCTAAGCGTCCCATGCTCTGGATACCAAGGGCAGTATTTTCCTATCTCCCCAACCAGCTTCCTTATGTCCGCTTCAAGCGTTGCCACGCCTGACTTGTGTAGCAGGAATCTAAGTTCCTGTACATGCTTTTGCTGAGGGTGAGATAATTTACAGCCCATACTTACTCACTGAGGGGTCTCGTAAGATGAAAGTGCACCTAGGGGTCTGTTCCAGACGATGATAAGTATGTTGGTGGCTGCTTCTTCCCGGAGTGGTCCCAAATGTCCCTGTTGAACGGGCGCCAGCTGTAGTAATCAGTCCTTAGTCATTGAAGGGTGCAAAGAAATGGCTACCCGCACGCAGCCTTTATTTGTTTATATAGAGCTTTACAAAATAACAAAAGTTACTGCATGGCAATAGCATTTCATTGGCTAAAATCCTTTACCAATCCTCAAGAGTAAAAAGCTAGAGGCCATAAACAGGGAAACTTGTTGTTCACCAGCCAGCCTTATCGAACTGGCAAGGTCACATAGACCTGCGCACTTTCACATCACTATGGTGATGTGAGGGGGGGAAAATAGATGCAGAACAAAGACACAAGCGTTGGGGGGGGGCAGTTTTCTGGACACGACTTTCGCCTGTCTCTCACCTCTACAGGAAAATCCGGAATTTCATACAGAGAGAGAAAAAAAGAGACAGGAAGAAACAGTAATAGAAAGAGCAGCCAAACCAAGGGAGGAAGAAGAAACTGAAAACACAAATACAGAAGAAGGGGTAAGAGCAAGAGAACAGAGACAGCTAAGAACAACTAGAAGATTAAGACCTAAATATAATTGAAGGAAAATGGGATTCTTTCAATGAATATAAACGGATTGAACTCCCCTACAAAAAGGAATTTTTTTTTCACACAATTACAAAAATTAAAAATGGACATAATCTGTCTCCAAGAAACATATATTAAGAGACAACACTACAAATTGTTGGAACAACTGAAAATTGGGAAACTTTACTTTGCATTAGCACAACAAAAAAAGAGGAATAGCTTTATATATTAAAGAAATAATGAATCCGAAACAAATCTATGCAGATGAAGAGGGAAGAATATTAATGGTAGAAATAATTATGAACCAAAAACAGATTCTGATGATAGCAATATGTGCACCTAATTTCAAACAAGAAGAATTCTATCAAAAATTACATTAAAAAATAGTGGAACTAGAATATCAAAACATTTGTTTAATGGAAGACTTTAATGCAATAGTAAATGAAATACTGGACCATTTTAAGTAAAATAGGGAAAAAAGGAAAGAATATACTATCTAAAACTTCCTTTAAGATGGCAGAAAAAATCTGTATTCAGGAAATATGCAGAGAAAAGAACCCCAAAAACCCACAATATAAATTTTATTCAAACAGACACGAATCATGGTCCAGAATTGATATGATATGGATATCTCCATTCTTCTAGAATGGGAAAAAGTAAAAGCGAAAATTTACATGAAAATACCTGGATGGCTCTCAACAACGGAAGCGTTTGTTCACCCAAACCTAACTATATATATATATAGAAAAATAGGCGATCGAAGCATCGCCCTGCTACTCTACGCAGATGATGCTGTAATCCTCTTCAGGACACTTGTAGGTCTTAAAAGAGCCTTGTGAGCCCTTATCCAGTATTGTAATTATGATAAACTGGACATAAACTACCGGAAAATATTATGGCCTTTGCAAAAAGACCAAAATTTGTTCATGGTATCTTAATGATCATAACAGAGAGCAAGTAACCACTTTGAAATATCTAGATGTGGTCATACATACCACCAGCTCAAGAAAAGAACATAGTGAATACATGGCTGCCTCTGGCCAAAGATCAGCTAATGCTATTCTCACTTTTGTCCTGTTGTGACTTGAAATGGCGTATACCTGGTGCTAGAGTGCATGGCATTATTATACACAACTTCTGCAAAAGGAAGTAGGTCAGTCCAGTTGTCTTGCTGGTAATTTATAAAATATCTGAAGTATTGTTCCAGTACTTAGTTTGAACGTTCTGACCCACCATTTGTTTGCAGATGGTGACTAGATGACAACCCGAGTGGTCCCCAAAAGGTACAGGAAAGCTTTCCAGAACTCAGATGTAAACTGCACCCGTCTGATATGATGTGTTATGGGGCTCCATGCAGTCGATATATATATTGCACAAACAGTTTTGCTAATGTCTTTGCTGTGGGAATTTTTTGACATGGGATGAAGTGCACCTACTTAGAGAACAGGTCTGTCACTACCCAAATGACGGTGTTTCCCCCACTTTCTGGTAATTCCACAGTAAAGTCAATAGAAATCTCTCTCCAGGGTGCTGATGGGGTTGCCACTGCCTACAATAATCCTGGGGTCTTTCCTTGTTTCCCTTTGGCCGCTGCACAAACGGGACAACTAGCCACATAGCTTTCAATGTCCTTTTTTTATCAAGGGCCATCAAAACTGCCTTTTCACTAAGTGAAGGATTATTACGAACCCAAAATGCCCAGCCACTTTGGAATCATGACAAAGATGCATGAAGTTTAGTTTCTGGGCTTTTGGGACATAAATTTCCCCCCCACCTTTGGCAGTCCGTCATTAATTGTGCACAGGTTCTTATGGCTTTAAGAACCATTTGTCCTTTTCTAAGGCTTGCTTGAATTCCACCTCCATCATGCCCGCTAGGGGGTTGGGACTTTTTCTTTGCGCTCGCATGGTTACTGGTGCCACTAGTTGCCTCAATGGCCTAAGCGGATCTGTTATCTGTTTTTGTACTGCCCCAGTGAATGGCATAGGCTTTCTTCTCCCACAGTGTCCATCTCTGTTCGGTTTCTGTGAGTTTCCTCAATGTGTACACATAAGGTTGTAATTTCCCTTTGTTATTCTCCAGGAGTAACACTGCCCCCACTGCTACATCACTGGCATCTGCCTGAATGACGAAAGGTTTTTCGGTGTCTGGGCGCTTCAGGACTGGTACGGCCAAGAATACTCTTTTCAGCTTCTCAAATGCGGCTTGGCACTCCATAGTCCATTTCAGTGGCTGGCTGGGTTTCGGCTTCCCCTCCCCCCGAGTCTTTAATAAATTTGTGATGGGCAGTGCAATCTGGGTGAAAGAGGGGATGAACTGATGATAAAAGTTAGTAAATCCAAGAAAACTTTGTAACTGTTTCTGGGTGCGGGGCAGAGCCCATTCTAACACTGCTCGGACCATTTCACGATCCATCCCTATGCCATTTTGAGATATGTGATACTCCAGGTAATCAATCCTTTCCTTATGGCATTCACATTTGGGCAATTTGGCATAAAGTCGGGTGGCTCGTATGTCAACTTATTTAGCATCACTCTGACCAGTCTGACATGCTCTTCTTTGGTCTTTGTGAATATTAGGATGTCGTCCAAGCAGACAAGCACCCCCTTGTAAAGGTGCTTCTGGAGTACTTCATTTATCAATTGCATGAATATGGCGCATGCCCCTTGCAACCCAAATGGAAGCACTCTATGGAAACATCCCATGGGGCAATTGAACACAGTCTTCCATTCATCTCCTTCCTTAATTCTAACCTGGTAATACGCCTTCCATAAGTTTTGAAAAAAAAAATTTCCCTTCGCCAAGTGTGCTAACATGTTCTTCATTAAGGGGGGTGGGTAGAGATTATTCTCTCTCACTGCGTTCAGAGATCTATAATCTATGCAGAGGCAAAGAGACCCATCTTTTTTCTTGTGGAATAGCACGGGGGTTTCTGTTTTGGGTTTTGTTAGCTGTATGAAACCTCTTGCCAAATTCTTGTCTATAAATTTTTGTAGCTCTTCCAATTCTCAAGGGGTCATAGAATATATTTTCGGCTTAGGTAGTTTTGCTCTTGGTAAGATCTCAATGGCACAATCTGTGGGTCGGTGGGGAGGTAGTTCATTGGACCTTTCTTCGCTAAATACTTCAGCTAGATTCCGATATTCCTCAGGCACGCCATGCAGTACCACGTCATTTGCCATTGCTACAGCTTCTGGACCTCTACTCCCTTCTGAGGCCGGGACTCCTCCCTTTACGCCATGTTTTCCTTTTGGGAATCTCAGTTCTCCCATCCTCCAGTCCACTCTTGGGTTCCACTTTGTTAACTATCCCTAAAATAAGGGGGCAGTCCATTCCAGGGGTCACCACAAAAGTCAAAGTCTCTGTGTGATCCCCTATGGTAAGTTGGATGGGCTGCGTGGCAAGGGTGGCTGGAACTTCCCTTGCAATGGACCCATCTAACTGGCCAAATGAAATTGGCTTCTTCAGCCTCTTCACTGGGATTCCTAAGTTCCCCACCGGGGTTGGGCTTATGAGGCAGCGGGTGCAGCCTGAGTCTATCTGGGCTCTTAACGAGATCTTTTCCCGCATCCCTGGCCTAAACAGTTCTACGACTCTGGTGAGGGGCATGATAGGTCCACTTACCAGGGTTCGTCCTCCGCGTTGCTGTCAGAAGATTTGGGTGGTTTTCCTCTTGGGATCAGAGTACCTCCCTCTTTATTGTTGGGTTTGGACCTCGATGACCTCCATGCTTTTGGTCACTGTGGTGTTTTTCCAGGCTTTTCCCCTCTGGCTCAGTCCGGCTTCTGCACGGAGGTCTTTGAGAGGCACTCAGCTGCGTGGTGTCACTCCTTCCCACACTTGAAACAGGCCGATGACCTAGGTGTTGTGGTGGGTGGTCTTGTCAGCTCCGGGGCCCCCTCTGAGGGGAACTGTCCCCAGGACCGTCCCAGGCATCACTTTCTGCAGGCTCGATCGATTTTGCCTTCTTTGGCCAGAATGTACCAATTGTGAAGTTGATCAGGATACCCCTGGGGGATACAGGCGTAATATAGATTGTTCAGCCCATCTTTAAAATGGCCCATGAGGACTCCCTCCGGCCAGTTGAGTCGGCTTGCCAGGGCTCGGAATTCCTCTGTATATTCAGCTACAGGGTGATGAACTTGCCTCACTGTTTTAATTCATTTTTTAGCCTTCCGATCAGCCGGGGGGTCTTTGAACTTCCTCCCTAGGGCAGTCATGAAGTGATTGAAATTCCAGCTCTGGAGCATCGGCGTCATGTAGGGTCACCATCCACTCGGTGGCTGCTCCTTCCAGAGCCATGGTTACGATTCTCACCCACCCATGATCGCTGGGGATGTCCCAGCCATATTCTTCCATATAACTCAGGATGTGAGCCAGAAAAAACCCTAAATTTCTAGGGTTCTCCATTGTACTGTATCCCCAAGGATGGGATCTTCTGTCGGACCGGTGACCTCTCCTTTGTCTGGCCTTGTGCCTGTCTCTGCCAGCTGGTGTGACTCATGCCGGGGTGGCAGCTGTGGCTGCTGCAGTCTCCGAGGTGCTGGTGGAAGGGCCCGGGTTCACGACCTCACTCTCCATGCACTCTTCTTCTGTCATGTCGTGGTCACCGAGGCCTGGCATGGAGCCATCTTCTCCTCCTTTAGGGAGTTGAAAGCGACTCTCAGCATGTCAATAGCTTGTTACAGGAACCGGCTAGAGTGGACCAGTCTCTCATCCTCTTCCTCACTAAGCTGGAGCGATCTCTCTATCTCCTGCTTTCTACCCCAGCTGGTGGCTGCCCCGTTCAATGGTCACCTTTCGGGATTTCACCTCCCAGTCTTTTTTCTTCCCAACACCCATGGTCCACCTTGGCTTATCCTGGCGCTTGGTGGCTACGGCTTCATCGGAGGAACTGGAGGAGTGTTAACTGCTGCCACTTGCCGGGGGGGGGGAGCTTCCCCGCCTAAGTTGCCTTCTTCTTTCTCTGTGCCATGGTTTGACATTGTTTGCATGGTCTCCACGGTGAGGGTCTTCCTTCTGGACTGACCAAAATTGCAGATCCTGCCTAAAGTAAGGACCTGCCTCAATCCCTCTTCCCATGAAAGCAGAACTCCTGGAACAGCTTCATTCCAAAAGGAATTTTTATTAGGTGAAGTTGACAGCAGGCATAAAAGGCAGAATCTGAGAGTTTCCCACGTGAATCAATAGATTAAAAGAGTACTTGCAAACCCCACCCCAATAGTCAGTCCAGCCAGTTCAAACGGCCCAATTCCCAGCTATGAATCTGCTGTGGGAACGGGGCTGATAAGGTGCCATTTCCAAGGTTGTTAGACAGTTATGTCTTCGTGCCTCTTCTTCCGCAGCTAGAGATAAGGCAGATGGCTGGAGGCACATTCCATTCTCACCCTAAGTCTGGCAGCAAGGGAAATAGATCAGGATAGAGGAAAGCAGAGAGGATACATTGTAGTGCCCATAACTCTCCCTTCCCCCCAGGATACTGACAGAACCTGCAAGAATAAAGAAATAATCCCCCTCCCAACAACTGGGTTCTAACACAAGTCCAAAAATGCTAGGGAATTTTTAGAAGCTTGGCATTCTGATAAATTAGCCATCACAAGTCACATAGACAGAATATCTATATATTATGCAAAATAGACAATCAACAAGCCAAAAAGGTAACAAAAAGACCAAAGCACTTCTCCACCAACAATCAGCACGAATTTCACCTTTACAATAAATTGAATTTTTATTTTTAATGGATTTTTCTTGTAAAGAATTCATCTCAGAAATGTCAAAGAATCGCCCTTCTCAGAAAAGCTGAATAGCTGGTATCCAGCTTATCACCAATGAATAAAACAGAGTACTAAGCAGCATTCTAGGCCAAGTTTTTCTTTAATGGCAGGTTTTCTACAAACTTATCTACTAAGCCAATGTATTATCGTCGCAACCTCAGGAAGAAGGCATGTTTGCATTCCTTACTATCCAAAGGGTAATATTTGTCATAAAAATCTAAAATATATTCCTCAGTTTTAAATCCAAATTTCTGATATAACAGCATTGCAGAATTACTAGCAGAGACATGGAGAGTTGCATCTTTTCCCATGCAAGTCTGTAAAAAAGAAGAAAAGAAAAAAAGAATTATATCAAAAAGATTGTATGATTCCTCTTCTTTAATAAGATAAATTACTTAAGAGAGTGGAAATACCAGATCCTATATTAGCTTCCATATAACATTGTCCATGTTGTTATCTTGTAAGGAGTAAAATATTGGCACTGAAAATGAGTTCTTACAACATTGACAAGTAAGAAGGACGAAGAGAATTCCAGATTAGTCAGTTAAGGAAACCTCAAGAACAGCACATTTGGAGAAGTGATCTTTTTTTTTATTAACTGACATATTACTTAAAATGTTTTGGAGGGGTTTAGATGCATTTTGTGGTCCTGACATGTGGTTATAGTAGTATGTTGGCTGTATCTGAGATGTTTTTGATATATGATATTGTTGTCCTTTTCATATCTTATATTGGTTGTGCTGTAGTGAGTTGAATGGTCCCATACTTTTTGATAAAGTTGTATGAGTATCTACTTTGTTGGAAGATGTTACATAAAAGGTCTGTTTTCTTTTTCTGGTTTCTGGGTTGCAGCAATATGTTTATATTTGTCTGAATAATGTTCTTATACAGCTCTTCTTGTGAGAGGTTGTGTTGTTAGTTTGATAGTGGAGCACTAGTGTGGGTGGTTTTTCAATAGACTTGTGTTTCTAGTTTGCTACCATTTCCTCTACTCTTGAGGACATACAGGAATGGTAGTACCTTTTTTTCTTCTTCCTTTATGAAATATATTCCTTTGAAGATATTAATTTTTCATGTGTCTTCTCTAGTTATTGCTTTTTTTTATTATAACAAAGATGCCTACCTATTGGGTCCATACTTTTGGTTGAATATGTGGATCTGCTATTACTTCTAGAATTGCATTACAGTTCTGAATCCTTTTTTCTCTCTCTCAATAATATAGATTTTGACAAGGAACAATAAAGAAAAAAGAAAAGAAAGAAAAAAGGGGGGAAATAAAAGGAAAAATAAAGTGCAAATCTCTTCCTTTAAGAAAGAGATTTCCCGCCTATATCTCTTTTAAATGTGGATTACAAGATATTTGTAAAAATCTTAGTAAATAGGCTTATGAGGGTTGTGCACCACCTTGTGCATAAAGATCAATCTGGGTTCATAACTGGAAGGTACATGAAAAATAATGTCAGACAAATTATTAATTTATTAGAATATTTAGATAAAAACAACCAAGTTCCTGCAGGGCTGATATTTTTAGATGCTGAAAAAGCTTTGATCAATTGAATTGGCATTTTATGTTAAGAGTAATGGAAGAGATGAATTTTGGTGAAAAGATATTGCAAGCTCTTATGGTAATATATCAAAAACAAACGGCACAACTTATCGTTAATGGAGGTTTGTCAGAGGTTTTTACAATAGAGAAAGGTACTAGACAGGGTTGCCCATTATCACCGTTGCTGTTTGTCTTAACACTGGAAATACTGTTGATCAAAATTCGAGAGTCGCAGGAAATTAAAGGAATAGAAGTTAATAAAAAAGAGTATAAGTTAAGAGCTTTTGCGGATGACTTGGTTATCACTTTGTCGCAACCTACTTATTCTGTAGTAAAATTATTACAGCTGATTCATAATTATGGTTTGGTTTCGGGTTTTAAGATTAATGTTAATAAGACAAAAATTTTACCTAAAAATATGACTAGTCGGGAGAAGCAGACTTTGGTTAACTTGACGGGTTTTGAAATTGTTAATAAGGTAAAATATTTGGGGGTGATGCTATCTGTTTCTAATGCAAAATTATTTAAAAATAATTATGAAAGGTTGTGGGTTAGGGTACAGAGAGACTTGAAGAATTGGGAAAAGTTGCAATTATCCCTCATGGGAAGAATTGCAGTGATAAAAATGAATATTCTACCCAAGTTTCTCTTTTTGTTCCAAATGATACCGATTTTGAAGAATGAGATCAATTTAACTGAGTGGCAGAAAGGCCTTAATAAATTTATTTGGGCAGGGAAAAAGCCAAGGGTTAAATTTAAAATTATGCAAGATTTCCGTGAGAGGGGAGGACTCAAGGTGCCGAATTTGAAATTATATTATGATGCGGTGGTTTTAACATTAGTTAGTGACTGGGTAAATTTGACAAATTCTGATATACTTCACTTAGAGGGATGGAATTTACTTTTTGGGTGGCATGCCTATTTAATATTTAATAAAAAAATGGATTGGGCTTTTAAATCTCATATCTTAAGAATTTCTTTACTTAGGGTTTGGAGAAAATATTACAAAAGTGATTTTAAAGTACCATTATGGGCCGTACCTTGGCATGCAATAGAAGGAATAAAAAGAGGGGTTAAAATGGATATGGTGTCCTATAGACAGTTACTTAAATGGGATGGACAAAACTGGCAGTTAAAATTACGGGAAGAGTTAGCACAAGAAAATATTATTTATTCTTGGTTCCAATATAGGCAATTATTAGATAGATGGAAGATGGACTGTAAGGTGGGTTTTCACAGAGAAGATGAAAATCTTATTAAGCAAGTGAAGGATCAAAGACAAACCCACATTAAGAGGATCTATGGGGTTTTAGTTGAATTGGATTCAGAAACGGAACTAATTAAAGATTGTATGATTAGATGGGCGCAGAATTTTGGTGAGCCAGTTCCATTGGACACCTGGGAAATTATTTGGGTGAGAAATGTCAAATTTACACAAGCACAGAACTTAAGGGAGAATTTTTATAAAATGTTTTATAGATGGCACCTTGATCCACAAAAAATGTCTTTTATGTACCCTGACTTACAACCTAAATGTTGGAGATGTGGTTGTATGGATGCTACTTATTATCATATTTGGTGGTCGTGCAGAGAGATAAAAGCATTCTGGATTAAGATATGGTGGAATATCCAGAGAATTTTTAAAAGGAGGGTAAAATTTACTCCACAATTATTTTTGTTAGGTATAGTTACTGATTGTGACACAAAGGAGGTTATATTGATGTTAAACTTGATAACAGCTGCGAGGCTGTTAGTAGGACAATATTGGAAGAAGGAATCTTTGCCTACATTGCAGGAATGGTTTCTTAAAGTGTCTCATTTGGCGGAAATGGCAAAGATTTCGGCTTTCTTAAAGGGACAAACGCAAGAGAAATTTCTTGCTGTTTGGGATAAATGGATAAAATTCATACAATTTAAATTTGATATAAAAAATATTATATAGTTTTTTCATAATTTTTAACTTTATATATATATATATATTTTCTATTTTATATTCTTTTTTTATAATTTTTTTTAACTTTTTCTTTAATTAAGCCTATATTCTGCTCTGGGAGGTCTTGGGGGGGGGAAGGGGGGGTTTGGGTAGGGGTGGGGGAAGGGGGGTTTTGTTGGGTAATGTTTGTTTTTTATTTGTATATGTTGTTTTTTGTTTTTGTATTGTTTCTTATTTTTTGTAAAATTTATAAAACTTTTTAATAAAAAAAAAAAAAGAAGTTAAAAGTAAGAAAGAGATTTCCCATCCTTATCATGACAAGTATAAACAATTTCATAATCTCTTTACCCCTTCCTTAGCAAGTATAAAACACTTCATCCCCTAACCCTTAGAAATAAAGAACTAAAATAAGTAAATCTTTTCCTTATGCAATTGCCATTAAAGAATCCAAGCAGAGCTCCAAAATATTAAAATCAATTAACAACTAAAGTCAACTTTCCATGTTTTGACTATTAGCTACAGTGTAAGTGAAATCCCTATTTTAAAGGCACAAAAAGTTCAAATCATCTAATACAAACCAAACCTAAAATTTTACTCAACAGAAAGAGATCTGTTCCCCTTTAAAAAGACACCAGCAACCAGTAACACAAACCAAATGTCAGTTATTGCAGAGATAATTGCCCAAATAGCAATGTATCTCATTCCATATCTCAACTCTAACCAACTCACAAATGTAAGTTCATATATACACATACTGTGTTTCCCTGAAAGTAAGACCCAGTCTTATTTTTTTTTGCCTCAAAAAGAGGCACAAGGTCTTATTTTCAGGGAATGTCTTACCTTAGGACCGTTGCAGCCAGGCCTCCCACGCCCCGACACCTGTAACACTGCTGCTTCTTCAGCGGCTGCTTGCCATTTGCAGCCGGATGCGCCGGCACCACTTGCAGCCAGATGCCACATGCCGCATTGCACTGGCAGTCATTGCAGAATACCGCATGGTGCTTCATGCCGGTACCACCAGTTCTGGCATGAGGCTGCATGGTGTTCCAGGCCATTTGCAGGATGCCACATGGCGCTTTGGGCTATTGCCGCTGGTTGCAGCAGGATGCCACATGGTATCCTGTCATGACCAGCAGCAACAGCGCAAAGCACCTTGCGGCCTCCTACAAATGGCCCGAAGCACTGCATGGCGACCTGTCATGACCAGCAGCAACAGCGCAAAGCAGCTTGCGGCCTCCTACAAATGGCCCGAAGCACTGCATGGCGACCTGCCATGACCGATGGCAACGGCCCAAAGCACCTTGCGGCCTCCTGCAAATGGCCCAAACCACTGCACGGTGTCCTGCCACAACTGGCGGCAAGGGCCCAAAGCGCTGCACGGCATCCTGCTGCAAGGAGCAACACTTGGCTGAAGCACTGCATGGCATCCTGCCGCGAGAAGCAGCAATGGCCTGAAGAGCTGCACGGCATCCGCTGCAAGGAATGGCAATGGCCTGGAGCGCTACGGGGCATCTTCCCATGAGGAGCAGCAATGGTCTGAAGCACGTGGCATCCTACCGCAAGGAGCAGCAATGGCCCGAAGCACTGTGCAGCCTCCTGCTGCAACCAGTGGCACCAGTGTGATGAGCCACGTGGCACAAGATGTTTCAGGGTGTGGGAGGCCTTCCTGTGGCAGTCCACCCAGTAATGTAAGCAGGTGCGGGGCGTGTAGGGCAAGTTAACCCCCCCTACATTCGCACTAGCTTGATTTTAGGCATGTGCCTTGCCCCAAAACTAGGGCTTATTTTTGGGGTAGGGCTTATATTAGGTTCACCCCAAAAAAATCAAGCTGGAGCTTATTTTCGGGGTAGGGCTTATTTTCGGGGAAACACAGTACACACCTAAAATGTGATCTAACACCCAATTTCCCCAAATAAAATCACACAATTAGATGCTAAGCATTTAACTACTAAACAATTTAGGAGTTCTAATTTTGCATCGTAGCGACACAGACAAGGGATTGCGGAGCTTCGCACCCCATGGCTGGTTTCGTCCTGCCAGAGGACCCTAAATGGGTCTAAAGTTGCCCTGGAGAAGTGACGAAGGAGGATAGGATAGGATAGGAGCGGAGCTGGAAGGGACCTTGGAGGTCTTCTAGTCCAGTCCCCTCCTCAAGCAGGAAAACCTATGCTGTCTCAGACAAGTGATTGTCTAGTCTCTTCTTAAAAATCTCCAGTGATGGAGCGCCTATAATTTCTGGAGGTAGCTGTTCCATTGGTTTCCATTAAGTTTCTCCTTAATTAGGTTTCTTCTCTCTTTGATCAGTTTCCAACCACTGCTTCTCGTCCTTCCTTCTTGTGCTTTGGTGAACAACATGACCCCCTCTTCTTTGTGGCAGCCCCTCAAATACTGGAATACTGCTATCACGTCTCCCCTATTTCTTCTTTTCTTTAGACTAGGCAAACCCCTGCAACCGTTCTTTGTATGTTTTAGTCTCCAGGCCTTTGATCATCTTAGTTGCTCTTCTCTGAACTTTTTCCAAAATCTCGGCATCTTTTTTGTGATATAGTGGCCAAAATTGGCTGCAGTATTCTAGGTGTGGTCTTACTAGGGTTTTATAAAATAGTACTAATACTTTGCGTGGTCTTGATTCTATGTCTCTGTTTATACAACCCAGGATTGTATTAGCTTTTTTGGTTGCTGCTGCACAATACTGGCTCATAATCAAGTGATTGTCCACTAGGACTCCAAGGTCCCTCTCACAGTTACTGTTTTTGAACCAGGTCTCGCCCAATCTGTACTTGTACCTTTGATTTTTCCTGCCTAAATGTAAAACTTTGCTTTTCTCCACATTGAAACTCATTTTGTTGGATAGGATCCATTGTTCAAGTTTGTCAAGAACTTTTTGGACCCTAAGTTTGTCTTCTGGGGTGTTGGCTACTCCTGTCAGTTTGGTGTCATCTGCAGATCTGATGAGTTCCCCTTCAATTCCCTCATCCAAGACATTGATAAAGATATTGAAGAGTACTGGGCCTAAGACGGAACCTTGTGGTACCCCACTACTTATTTCTCTCCATGTGGATGTGATGCCATTGAAGACTACTTGTTGAGTACGCTTTGCCAGCCAGCTACAGATCCATCTGGTGGTGATGTTGTCTATTCCATCTTTTTCTAGCTTACCAAGGAGTAGGTTGTGGTCTACTTTATCAAATGCCTTACTGAAATCTGAGTACTATGTCAACAGCATTTCGCTGGTCTATTAGTTTAGTCACTTTATTGAAGAATGAAATAAGATTGTTTTGGCATTATCTGTTTTTAACAAACCCATGCTGGCTACTAGTTATATAACTTTGTTTGCTTTTAGTTGTTTGCAGATCTGTTTTTTGATTAACTTTTCTAGGATCTGCTCAGGTATTGATGTTAAACAGATTAGTCTGTAGTTTCCTAGGTCCATTTTTTCCCCTTTCTTGAAGATGGGAACCACATCAGCCCTTTCCCAATCCTTAGGTACTACTCTGGTGCTTCAGGATTTATGACTTTTTTCTTGTTGTTAATGTGTTGGAAGAAATATTTTTTATTATCCTTGATTTCTGTTGCAAGTCTTTGTTCGTTCTGAGCCTTTGCTTTCTTGACTTCATCTTTGCATGTTCTGCCTGTCTGCTGATAATCGGCCTTAGTTATGTGCCCCTCTTTCCATTTTTTGTGTATGTCCTTTTTGTCTTTCAGTTTTTCAGAGAGATCTTTGTGCAGCCGTGCTGATTTCTTCTTGAATTTCTTGTTTTTCTTTTTCAGTGGTATTGTGTTGGCTTTTATGATCGCATTTTTCAGAGTTTCTCATGCTTCTTGGGTTGTTTTCCCCTTTAGGATTTTCATCCATGGGATCTTTCCTAGGTTCTCTCTGAGTTTGTTAAAGTCAGCTCTTTTGAAGTTTAAGACACTGGTTGGATTGTTTTCTATTGCTAGTGTTTGTGTTATATTAAATTCCAGTACGACTAGATCAGGGAACTAGAAATTAAATATTATGAAGAAGCTGAGTTCTAGCTATTTGGAGTCTTACATGTTAAAGAGAACTTTGGATTTATCTTTGCTGAGGATTTTTTTAAAAAGATTTTTTTAAAAAATCACTCACACCAACCAAGGGCTCCACAACCAAAGCAATAACCCAACCTCCCACAAGTGAAGCTGTGTAAGAATACTATTTAGAAGAGCACAAACACACTACAACAAAATCCTAAACATCAGAAAGAAGGAAATAAGCCATCTATACAACCTTCCAACAAAATGATTAGCCACACAACTTCATCAAAAACTGCCTGACCACTCAATCCAACATAGCTGTGAACATATGCTGTGAAAAGGATAATACTGTCATATATCAAAAACATCTCAGAAACCACCAACAGACTATTACAACCACATGGCATAAGCACAGCCCATAGCACAATACTAAAGCCTTCTAAAACATCCTAAATAAACCAAAAGACCCAGTAGCCCCAGAAGAAAAAACAGGACTCATGTACACCATACAGTATAAGGCCTGCAACAGTCACTATGTAAGACAAACAGGCAGAAGACTAGTACAATTATCCATGAACACCAACTAGCAGTCAGAAGACATGATGAAAACTCCTTAATTTTATAATACATGGACAGACTTAACTATAGTTTCAACTGGGAAACTGATCATCCTAGATCAAGCCAAATCCAAAAATGCTAGAAAATTCCTGGAAGCCTGGCACTCTGACAAATTAGCTATCAATAGGTACATAAACAAAATCTACATACTACTCAAAAGAGACAATCAACAAGCCAAAGAAGAAAAAAGACCAAAATACCTCCTTATCAGTAAGCAACATCCAGATGAGCAGAGATAAACATCAAGAGTAACATTTGACTAACAATCAAGAAGCAAGGAACTGCCAAACAAGCTAACAGTAAAGAGCCCAACCAAAGAAGCACCAAGACCACTCCCACCAACACTGACCAGACAATCCATTAGAATTCCCACTCCCTACTAGCATTGATGATGATGTTACTTAGTTTGGGTAATGAAACATCTGCAAGAAAAAAAACCAAGCTAAGAGCATCAAAGACCTCTCATTTCAACCCTGAGCTACAAATACAATATTCTCCTCTAACAGTATTTTTCAAGGCCCAAAAGCCAAATTAAAAAAATAGGTAAATAACCTTCATAATTTTGAAAAAGCTAAACAATGAATAAGTCACACAAGTGCAGATTTATTTACTTGAATAAATAAATACTTGAATTTGCAATTAAATTAATCAAGTCATGTTTCTCAGAATAATAGAATCATTTCAAAGTACCTGAATAAGATGATATATCATAAAAGTTGCAATCCCTGATCGTCTCCACTCAGGATGAACAAAAAGGAAAGAGATATACGCTTCATTATATTTGACATCTGGCACCATAAAACCAAAAGCAACTATAACTTTTTTGTAAAGAACGACAACACTGAAATCTGGATACTGCAGGCATTCTGACAGATCAATCCCTATAAATAATAAAAAAGAAAACCACAAGCAATGACATATTAATGATTGAAATAATTACATATAAAAATAATACAATATACAAAAATATATTTTCCAAGTGGTAACTATATTGCAGCAAAAATATTTTAAATATCAAAATCTAACATAAACTTATGTATGACAGTCCATTTCATTAGAAGCATAGTACAGGTAGAACTTATTTATTGAAGGCCAAGTGCTATGAGTATTTGAAGTTGTGATGGTGCTGAAAAAATAACTTCACAACTAAGGTGTGCACTTACAACCTTTGCAGCATCTCTCTCAGTCACATATCCATTATTATAGTCAGTTACTACACATTATCCTATGCCTGAACTGTTTCCCCCCCCCCTCATTCTTGCAGAGTGGAGAGATTGCCTAAACAAACATCGCTTTAGACAATCTTTCCTGTGTCTGACCCTGTTTTTCTTCCTCCACTCATAGAACAAAATGGAGAGGAAGAGGCTGGGAGCCATGAGCATATTAGGCAAACAGCTGGTACTAGCATATTCCTTTCAATGCATATCCTCTATTGTGTGCTGCTTACTCTCTTGTTATTCTCTTTTGCTTCCTCTAAAAAAAAAATGCAAATACAAACATTAATTCTCTTCTTGCTAATTATCTGAGGGCCACAATGAGCATTCCAAAGGGTAGGGAAATAGGGAGAAAGGAAAGCTGAAATAAAATTGTAAACACAGTTGTGGTCATGTAGTTTTTCAGTCCCAACTATGGTTGCTAAATAAGGACTGCCTACATCTAATCATATAGACCAGTGGTTCTCAACCTATGGGTCGGGACCCCATTTGGGGTCAAACGACCATTTCACGGGGGTCGCCAAACAACACAGTCCGCCATTTTTTCCCCATTTTCCTTAGCTGTGTTACTCCCTTTTATTCTATTGGCTTTTGAAAGCCAATAGAATAGACTCTCTTGAATAGAGTCTAATTCTATTGGCTTTCAAAAGCCAATAGGAATTGTCCAGGCTGTCTCTGCCCTGCTGAGCCTGCCAAAAGTCCCATTCTGCAAATGGTGCTGCATCAGTTGAGTAGTCCTCGACTTACGACCGGTTGGGGGTCGCAGCATTAAAAAGGTTGAGAACCACTGATATAGACTATGGTCAATATAATCTATTAAGTATGCTAATCTTTTTTTTAATAATTTTTTATTTTTCCAAACTCCCCCATACATATACCATGATATTTATCAGATGTTAACATACATTCTTTTTACATTCATATATAAGATACTTTTGATAAAATGAAATAAATACATACACATGACTTTTGATGTTGCTCGCCCATTTCCCCTTTCACTTTATCCACATTCCTTCTTTCTCCCTTTCTTCTCTTCCCCACTTCCCTCTTCTTCCTCTCCTCTTCTCTTTCCTTCACCACTCTCCTACCCTTTCTCCCCACTTCTCCTCCAACCTTCGTACTTCCTTCTCCCCTCCTTTACTCTTTTCTCTCTCCTTTCCTTTCTTCCCTCTCTTCCCTCTTCAGATGCAATTCGGGGGTAATGTCCGAGCAATTCCTCTCTCCAAATTTCCCTATCTGTATTATATATAATAAGATTAATTTTCTCTTACATTAATACTTCTGTTGATCTAACCTTCTCGGTATATAATTCTATAAATATTTATACAACCTCCAGTTATTCAATACTGTGTTGCCTGGGTCTCCCTCCTTATCTGCTCCTTCTTCTTCCATCTAAATTGATGTTAACTATCTTTTAACCATATTCTCTTTCCAGCCAATCATAAAAAGTTCCCCAGATTTCATAGTAGTCTGACTCTGTCTTATCTTTAATTGTCATTTTTAGTCTATTCATTTCTGTACATTCCAGTATTTTCCCAATCACTCTCCCTCTGGGGGGGCTTTCAGTGCTTTCCACTTTTGTGCAAATACAATCCTGGCTACCGTGATTATATGAATAATTAAATATGTTTTCTCTTTATTGTATTTCTCTGGTAGAATACCCAACAGGAATATTTCTGGTCTTAGTTATATACGTTGTTGTATCATCTTTTCTATCATGTTCTAATTATATTCCAATAAGTTTTAGCTTCTACACATGTCCACTACATATGGTAGAAGGAACCTGGTATCTGATGACATTTCCAACATTTCATAGTCCTGCCCTTAAACATCTTAGCTAATCTTTCTGGAGACATGTGCCATCTGTAAAACATTTTATATATATTTTCTTTATATGCAGTCGCCATTGTCAATTTATAGTTTCTTTCCCATAGTTGCTGCCATCTATCTAATTCAATTGTTTATCCAAAATTCCTTGTCCATTTTATCATTGTCTCTTTCACTTGTTCCTTCTCTAACTCCATATGTAGTAGATAACTGTGCATTTTTTAATCCATTTTTCTTCCGTTCCTGTGAGTATTTCATCTAACTCTGTTGTTCCCAAATTAACACCATCTATTTTAACATCTTTTTCATATCTAGATTGTATTTGCATTCTCATGAACCAATCCATCTTTATTCCTTGTTCCTCTAATTGTTGTTTGGTTTTCAACTCCCCCATATCTGTTAGTAAGTCTTTATATCTTATAATGTTTCCCATGTTAAACATATTGGGGTGTATTAGCGCCTCCATAGTTGAGAGCCAATTTGGAATTTTCAAATAATGCTTTCTCTTTACTTTCTCCCAGATCACAAATAAAGAATTCCTTATATGGTGTCTCTGGAAATAGCTATGTATTCTGTTTTTTCCATACCATATAAAAGCATGCCATCCCAACTGTAAATCATGTCCCTCTAATGTCAATAATCTTGTATTCCTCAGTAAGATCCATTCTCTCATCCATGATAATGCTGCAGCCTGATAGTACAATTCCCAATTAGGTAGTGCAAACCCACCTCTCAATCTTGTGTCTTGTAACATTTTTAGATTAATCTTTGCCTTTTTTCCCTGCCAAATATATTTCAAGATTATTTTATTAAGCCCCTCAAAATATTTCTTATCTAATATTATTGGTATTGTTGAAAACAAAAACAATAATCATGGTAATATATTCATTTTGATTATCGCAATCCTTCCCATTAATGATAATTGTACATTTTCCATTTATCCAAATCTACTTCAATTTGTCTTTTCAATTTATATAATTATCCTCTTTAATTGTTGTGCATCTTGCTGTCAGGTGGATACCTAAATATTTTACCTTCTTTACAATCTGTATATCTAATTTTCCCACCAGTTCTTTTTTTTGTTTTTCAGTAATATTTTTCACTAACATTTTGGCTTTATCTTTATTAATTTTCAACCCAGCTACCTCACCATATTTTTCTATTTGTTCTATTAATACAGGTCCTGTCTCTAATGGTTCCTCCAAAATAAATACTAAATCGTCTGCGAATGCTTGTAGCTTATATTCTTCCCTCTTAATTTTCATCCCTTTTATGTCATTATTCTGTTTTATACATCTATTTAATACCTCTAATGTCAGAACAAACAACAGTGGAGATAGGGGACAGCCCTGTCTTGTTCCTTTCATAATATTGATTTTCTCAGTCATATCTCCATTTATCATTACTTTGGCTGATTGCTTATTATAAATTGTTCTGATTACATTTATAAATTTATAGATGCCGCCGCTGTATGCAAAAAAAAAAAAGGTTCAATCAGTCAATTTCAACTTCTCGCGGGGAAAAAAAAGATCTTGCAAAGTTGGAACTGATTGAACTTTTTAGTCCCACCCAGTCTGCTGTTACCACCACCAGCCAATGGGCTACACTCACCCAGCACTCGACGATGCATAACTGGGTTTTGGGTTGCAGTGTGGGCACTCAGTTTCTAAAAGGTTTGCCATCACTGGTATAGGGCCCAATCTGGCAGCCAAAATCCTCCATTTTCTTTCGCTTCTTCTAGCATGTGTATTTAGTTCATCAAAAAAAAAAAATCACAATTTTATAGGTATTGTTTGAAATAAGAAGAGTAATTTTGGTAAGATATTCATCTTCACTGTTGCTTTTCTCCCTAACATTGAGAGTTGTAGGTTTTTCCATTTATCCAGGTCTAGTTTTATTTGTTTTAATAGTTTTACGTAGTTGTCTTCTTTTATTGTTGCACAGCTTGCTGCTAAATATATCCCCAAGTATTTAACTTTCTTAACTATTTGACGATCTGTTTTTTCTGACAATTGATTTTTTTGTTTTTCTGTAAGGTTTTTGGTTATCACTTTGGTCTTTTCTCTATTTATTTTCAGATCTGCCACTTCTCCAAATTCTTCTGTCTTTTTCAGAAGCTTGGGGTTTGTCACAAGGGGCTCTTCTAATATGAAAACCAAGTCATCTGTGAATGCTTGTAGTTTATATTTTCATCTTTTATCTTCATTCCTTTAATTTCTGAGTCTTGCCTAATATTTCTATTTCTTCCAGTGTTAATATAAATAATAATGGGAATAGTGGACATCCTTATCTTGTGCATTTTTAATGTTAAAATTTTCTGTAAAATCTCCATTTACAATTATTTAACTATTTGTCTATGATAGATTGTTTTAATTGTATTTATAAAGTTTTCTCCAAAATCCATTTCATTTAGTTGTTGAATCGTGAATTGCCAGTTTACGTTATCAAAAGCCTTCTGTGCATCTAGGAATATTAGTGCCATCTGCTTCCCTGGGTGCATTTCATAGTATTCCTAGGTGTCTAAAATCATTCTTAAATTGTTTTTTATTTGTCTCTTAGGTAAAAATCTGTTTTGGTCTCTGGGTATACATTCAATCAAAAATCTCTTTAATCTTTCTGCTATTATTGAAGCAAAAATTTTATATCCAGATTTAATAGAGATGTTGGTCTATAATTTTTTATCTGTGTCAAGTCTGAGTCTTCTTCGGGTATTAAAGTAACATTGGCTTCTATCCAAGTATTTCGTATTTTAGCCTCTAAAAGTACTTTGTTACATAGTTCTTTCACTAATGGGCTTAATGTATCTTGTAGGCATTTATAAAATTCTGCAGGTAGCCCATCTAGACCTGGAGTCTTATCATTTTTTTCCTTTGTATGGCCTCCATTTCCTCCATCATTGATATTTTTTCATTTAGCATATTTTGGATATTCTCTGAGAATTTTGGTAAGTTAGCTTTTTTAATGTATTGCTTTATTTTTTCTTGCAAAATTTCTTCTATGTCGTAAAGTGTCTCATAAAAGTCTGATTATTTTTTTGATTATGTTGTTTTGGAATTGTAAATCGCCTTTTGAATCTTGCATTTTTAATCAATTTTTTCTCTTTCTTTTTTCAATTTGTATGCTAACCACCTACCTGTTTTATTAGCATTTTCAAAAATGTTTTGTTTTGCCCTTTTAATTTGTTGGGCCATTTTTTTCAGCCTCTGCTAGGTTTAGTTGGTGGTTTTATTATTTCCATTTACTTTTTAAGAGTTTTCTTATGTGGATCTCTTTGTAGTTCCAATTCCAATTTTATAAATTCCTCCTTTAATTTCGTTTGTTGTTGCATTTTTTCTTTATTCTTTTTCACCATGTAAGTTATAGCCAACCTCTAATGCATGCTTTAGCTGTATCCCACACATTTTGATGCGATGTCTCTTCTTTTTTGTTTATTTTAAAGAAAAATTCCATTTCCTTTGTTGCTATTTGTATAAATACTTTCTCTTTCAGTAAAGATTGATTCAGAGACCATCTTAGTTTTTTCTTAGTTCCTCTCCAAGTCATCTTTATTGGATTATGGTCTGCCCATATATTGGCTTCTATCTCAATCTCTTGTATAATCGTGCTTAATTCAGGGGATATGCATATCATATCATAGACCATGATTTGTGCCTGTATATTGTATATTGTAAAATGTATATTGTGGTTTTTGGGGGTTCTTTTCTCTCCATATATCCTGTATACAGATTTCTTCTGCCATTTTAAAGAAAATCTTAGTGTATTCCTTTCTTTTTCCCCGTTTTGCTACTTCTGTAGTCCAGCTTTCCATCTACTATTGCATTAAAGTCTCCCATTAAACAAATGTTTTGATATTCCAATTCCACGATTTTTTGTATAATTTTTGATAAAATTCTTGTTTGTTATTAGGTGCATATATAGCTACTATCAGTATCTGTTTTTGATTTATCATTATTTCCAACATTAATATTCTTCCCTCTTCATCTGCATGGATTTGTTTAGAGTTCATTGTCTCTTTTATATATAAAGCTATTCCTCTTTTCTTTTGTTGTGCTAGTGTGAAGTGAAGTTTCCCGATTTTCAATTGTTCGAACAGTTTGTAGTGTTGTCTTTTAATATGTGTTTCTTGGAGACAAGCTATATCCATTTTTAATTTTCATAGTCCTATAAAAAAAGTTTTTCTTTTTGCAGGGGAATTCAATCCATTTATATTCATTGAAAGAATTCCATTTTCCTTCTCCATCTTCTTCTGTTATATTTAGGTTTTATTCTCCTAGTTGTTCTTATCTGTCTTTGTTCTCTTGCTTTTGTCCCTTCTTCTATGTTTGTGTTTTCTGTTTCTTCTTCTTCCCTTGGTTTGGCTGCTCCTTCTATTGCTATCTCTTCCTGTTTTTTTGCTTCTCTCTCTGCATGAAATTCCGGACTTTCCCCTTCCAAAAAAGTTTTGTATCTCTCATAAAATTCCATTGCCTTGAGTGCAGTGTCCAATCTGTATCTTTTCATGTCCCAATTAATTAAAATCCCTTCCAGAATCAGCCATCTGAAATTCACTCCTTTTTCAATTAATTTTCTGGTCAGGAATTGGTATTCTCTTCTTGAAACTCTTATCCTCCTGGGATCTGCTTCAGCACTACAATTCCCTTTTCTTTATAACGCAAGGGATCATTTCTCGCTCTTCTCAATATCTCATCTCTTGTAGATCTTTTGATGAATCTAACATGAATTTCTCTAGGGACTTTATTTCTCCTTGCATAGCTTGAATTGACTCGAAATATCAGGTCTATCTCTACTTCCATTTCCTGTTTTACGATTTCCGTGCATCAGCCAATAGCTCTGTCATCAAATCTGCAAGATCCTCATCTTTGTCCTCCATTACATTATGAAATCTTAAAAAATAAGATGCCTTTTCCATTTCCAAAACTGCCATTGAATCTTCCAATTTTTTATTTGCCTGCATTAACCTCTGATTTTCATCTTTTATTTCTTCCATCTTCTGATCAATCTCCACTGACTTGTCTTCTATTTTCTGAATTTTCTTTGTAACCATCTGTTGGAAGCTTTCTAGTTGAGAGTTTATGTTATGAATTTCTTATCTTTTGCTCCTCATGGTTTTTCCTTGTATCTTCTTTGTGGGAGGAGATAGCCTCTTGGATTGCTTGTATCTCCTTCTGAAAGTTGTTGGATTTTTCTTGTTGAAGCATTGATTTGATTGATCTCTGATATAGAAGGCTTGCAGAGGTGGAGGACGGGGCTAATGGTGTTTTCTTGCCAGTTTTAGCTAAATTCGGAACACTCATTTTTAATTCCACCCCCAAAATTTTTATCAACTCTAATACTTTTTCCAGATGTCTGCCTTATACCAAACCATTAATCTTGTATTCAATACCACAATATATCATTTAAATTTGTCTTTTAATAACTCTTATAGTTCTTGTCTATAATCTCTATAATCCAATAAATTCCCTAAAAAGGAAGGGAGAACAAAGAAGAAAAAAATTGTAATCCAATTCTGTTTGTGAGGTTCACTTCCAGAGCAATTGTCTAAAATCCAAGATTATTGCTCAGTCAAAATTTGTAATCCACAAGGTCCTACTATTCAAAATTAATAGTCCATAGGACCTTCTCCAAAGAAAATCAACAACAGTTAAGCTTCCACTGTCCTTAAGTAGTTCTAAGACTAAAACTTTATAATCCAATAGGCTCCTCAGAAAAAGAGGGGGGGAAGGGGGGAGGAAAAAAAAGAAAAAATGAGAAGGGGGAAAAGTTTATAATCCACTTCTATCTTCTGACTCCAGCTCTGACCAATTGTCCCAAAATCCAAATTTGGCAATCTACCAAAATTATAATCCAAAATGTCTTGCTGTAGATAAATTACAGCTCAAACAATATTTGTAATCCGAGGAAGGAAGATGGCTTCAAAATAGTTTGTAGTTTTAGTTGTAATCCATCCTGCAGAAAAGACAGCCCAAAAGGTTTTTCTCTTTTCCTAGTTGCAATCTACAAGGTTATGAAGTTCAGAAACATCAAAGGATTTAGTTTGTTATCTATATCTGGGCTTCAGGCCAAGTTCCCTCACTCCAGACAAAATATAAATAGAGCTGGGTGTAGTTCTTTTTTTCGCCACTAGATCTCATTAAGTATCCATTTTGTAATTTTCAAACCCAAAAAGTTTTTTTTTCCTTTAAGTTTTGCTCCTATACCAGTGGTGGCGAACCTATGGCTCGGGTGCCAGAGGCGGCACTTAGAGCCCTCTCTGTGGGCACGTGCGCTGTCACCTCAGTCCTAGGCCTTCAGCTGGGTTTTATAAAACCTTTTCGCTTTAGGCCTCCGCCGCTGTGTACAAAAAAAAAAGGTTCAATCAATCAATTTCAATTTCTTGCGGGGAAAAAAAAAGATTTTGCAAAGTTGGAATTGATTGATTAAACTTTTTAGTCCCACCCAGTCTGCTGTTACCACCGCAGCCATGCCCACCCAATAGGCCACACCCAGCCAATGGGCAATGCCCACCCGGCACCTGACGATGCATAAGTGGGTTTCGGGTTGTAGTTTGGGCACTCGGTCTCTAAAAGGTTCGCCATCCTATACTCTCCCAAAAATTATAACTTCCCAAACTTTTTTCTTTCTATTGTGTCCAAATTAATTTTATAGTCTCTCTATTGTCCCCCAAGAAAACTTAATCCGCCGCTTTTATTCTGGGAGAGGGGGTGAAAAAAGACAACCCCTTTTATGTGGAGATGGTTAGATAAGAGATTAATCATTTAGTAACACGGAAGGTAGCATGGCTACTTTTTATCCAATTATAGGAGTGCCAATAATTTTGATACATTTTTCAATTCTGTGTTGGAATGTGCAGCTGAAGAAGTGGGACAGGGAATCTCCAGCAATAGCACTGTAACTTCCCAAAGAGAAAGCAATGCATTCCAGGCCCCAAATAAGATACTGTACAGTCCTAAACTGGATGGGGGAGGGAGAGAGAAAAAGGTTCAGGGTAGCTATACCCTAGTATCTCTCAGGGTCAATCTATTAGGTAAGAAGATTATAGCTTTAGTCTGATGAGATTCTGTCTATTAGGCCAGGGATCCCCAACCCCCAGGCCGTGAACTGTTTGCAATGGGGCAGCAGAAGTGATGCCCACTGCTTGCACTAATGGTGCTGTGAGTGCATGTGCACTTGCCAACTGCTTGTGTGGAAATCACCACCGCCACCAGTCCGCAAAGCCAGAAAGGTTGAGGAACTCTGTATTAGGCAAATAAAGAACTGAACTTGACTGGATTTCACTGTGACATTTTTGGACTTAGTGTGATAAATTAGCATCTGTTAAAGCACACAAAGTTGTTCCCATGAAATTCAATGGCAACTCTTTCCCCAACATTTTGGAAGTATGATTTCTACAGTGTGAAAATAGATGCAATAAGCCGTAAGAATACAAAATATATCTGTTCTTGTCTTTTAAATCTCTCCCCTAATAGGACAAAATCAAACTACCAATATTCAGTGGCATATAGCCTAGAATTTAACAATGATATTTTCAGATTTTTTTTAAAAAAAGAGAAATAAGAAAGAAATGGAAGCACAAGATTGTTATGAGGCAAAAATTCCAATTTCCATTCTTAATCCATCCCCTACATCTGCCAAAACCTTTTAAATTGCTAGCTCAGTAGTGGAAGACCTCAGCCCACCAGGTGATTCAGTCAATCAGGTGCAAACATTTAGATCAGGAAAGATTGGCCAGCCCTGATCTAGTAAAATCCTACCTGGCCAGAAGAACTCGTGGCACAATGAATTAATGGTCGGGATGTGATTGGGGCGCACATAGCAATAATCAATCGGGGCTTCTGGTTCAGCAGTCCAGCTTGGATCGTTCTTATGATAATGAGCTCGTATTTCCATCAGCAGCTGAAGTTTTGGGGGCCTATTCTCATAATCACGTCTAGAGGAAACAATTGAAACAATTGAGTTAAATACAACGTTCAAAGTAGATCAAACCTGATTTCACAGAAATATGTTTCAAAAGGGATATTGGAGGTCTTTTGGACCAATCCCCTTCTCAGGACAGGAATATTTATCCTACTCTAGACAAATGGTTGTCCAAACCTTGTTTGAAAATTTTCAGCAATGGAACCCTCATGATTCAGGCTGTTTCACTGCTTAACAGTTTTCACAGTAAGGAGTTTCTGCGTTATTTCAACTTTGAACTTCCCTCTGTAAAGTGTCCACCACTGGTTTCCATACTAACTCCAGGAGTTATAAAAAATAAATCCACACAGTTTTTTCTGTGATAGCTACTGGAAGAGAGCTATCATGTTCCTCTTTAACTTCCTCTTCTGTAGATATATTGGTAGGAATAAACTCTAAAATTAAATTAATGAAATATTGCTAATATTGCTAATATTTGATTATTTAATATGTATACATACATGCATATACACAAACGCACAAACACACAATGAAACTTATGCCCATCGCCAACTCATTTCAACTAAGAAATGTATGAATAGGAAAAATCCAAAAGTAAATACCAATACGTTACCCTAAGCAGGCTCACAATAATACTTTCCGACTATCTCCATTGAGAAGTGCTGAGAAATTTTTTTTTTGCTATGAAAAATTTGAATATTTTGATCTGAACCACTATCCTGAATTCTCAAAAATCAGAATTTCAAGGACAACAGTTTTCTGGGAGTTCTAGTGCTCACTTTATTTCAACATTATCCACATTAATATTATTTCAACACTAACCCCATGAGAGAGCAAAAAATTAATGTGTGTCGATGATAGGTGACTCGCTATTCACAGGAACAGTCATCAATTTGTAGACCAGATAAATGCCTTTCTGGAGTCCAAGTAATACTATGTCCTCAGCAGTTCACTGATCTACTAACTTAGTCATTTTGTTAAAGAATGCAATACAGTTTATCTGGCATGATCTGTTTTTGACAAACCCTATTTTGGCTTCTTTGACTTTTAGGCGTTTACAGTTCTGTTGCTTATTTTTTCTAGGAACTTCCCAGGTATTGATGTCATGCTGATCAGTCTGTAGTTTCCAGGATCTGGGTTTTTTTTCCTTTTTTGAAAATGGGACCCATATCAGCTCTTTTTCAGTCCTCTGATATTTCCCTGGTGCTCCAGGATCTTTGAAAAATATAGTTCAATGGTTCTGAAATCACATCTACCAGCACCTTCAGATTTCTGGGATTTAATCCATCTGATCCTGGTGATTTGAACTCATCTAGGGTAGACAGGTGTTCTCTTAGCATTTTCTTGCCTATTTTGATTTGTGTTGCTATTCTGTCCTTTATGGTACTGGTTTTGATAGGTTGGACTATTTTTTCCTTCGTGTAGCTGCAAAGAATGAAGTTAACAATTCTGCTTTCTCCCTTCTGCCTGTCACCCCCTTGCCATCTTCTCCATTAGTGGAACAATTGTTTCCTTGACTTTTTTTTTTTGTCTTTTACACGTTAAAATAAACTTTTAAAATTATTTTTGGCATTTATTCCAACTTTTAGTTCATTCTGAGCCTTAGCTTTCCTGACTTTGTCCTTGCAGATTTGAGCTATTTGCTTGTATTCTGTTTTAGTTATATGTCTCGCTTTCCATTTTTTATACTTGTCCTTTTTTCTCTCCCAGTTTGTCAGAGATTTCTTTATTATGTAAACCTGCTGGGTTCATCTGTGGTCTCTTGTTTTTATTTCTCTGTGGTATTGTGTTAAATTGAACTTTTATAATTTTTCTGATTTTCCCAGCAGCTTGAGTTTTTTTTCCCTTTTAGGATTTCTATCCGTGAAATCCTTCCTAAACTCTCTAAGAGACCTGACTTCAATAATCTAAAAGTCTAAAACAGCAGTTTGACTTTGATTACATTATGCTGAATTCCAGTATGACATAATCACTCTCCCCCAAAGTTCCTGGAACTTCAACCCCCTCTATCATTTCATTTCTGTTAGTAACAATTAAGTCCAACATAGCTGACCCTCTAGTTCCCTCCTCTATCTTTTGCGTGACAAAGTTGTCAGCTAGGGTTATCAGAAACTTGTTTTCCTTGACTTTTTTTTTTACATTTGAAAGAAAATTTATTGTTTTTGACATTTGTTGCAAGTCTTTGTTCATTGTGAGCCTTAGCTTTCCTGACTTCATCTTTGCAGATTCCAGCTATATGCCAATACAGGTAGTCCTCAACTTACAACAGTTCAGTTAGTGACCATTCAAAGTTACAACAGCATTGAAAAAAGTGACTTATGAACATTTTTCACATTTTTGACTGTTGCAGCATCCCCATGATAATGTGATTTACATTGGGATGCTTGATAACTGACTCACATTTATGACGGTTGCAGTGTCCCTGGATCATGCAATCCCCTTTTGCGACCTTTTGATGAGCAAAATCAATGGGGAAACCAAATTCACTTAACAATCGCGTGACTAATTTAACAACTACAGTGATTCACTTGACAAATGTGGCAAGAAAGGTTGTAAAATGGGGCAAAACTCACTTAATAATTTTCTCACTTAGCAACATATATTTCTACTTTTTATACTTGTCGTTTTTATTTTACAATTTGAGTGTTCTTTGTGCAACCATTCTGTTATTTTCTGGGATTTCTTGTTTTTCTTTCTCTACGGAATTGAGCTAGACTGGGCTTTTATAATCTCATTTTTTCAGTTTTCCAAGCTTTTTGATTTGTTTTCTCCTTAAAGATTTCCATCCAGGAAAACCTTCCCAAGCTCTAAGTTGCTGAAATCAGTTCTCTTATAGTCTAAGAAATTAGTTTAACTTTGTTCTATTGTTTGTTGTCTGCATAATGTTGAATTCCAAAGTCACATGGTCACTGTCCTCCAAAGTTCCCTAACTTTAACCCCCTCTTTCATCTCTATTAGTGAGAATTAAGTCCAGTATCGCTGACCCTCTAATTTTTAATAAGATCATTTTAATAGGATTTCTCTAGAGAGATGTGTTGTTTAATGCAAAGATTAAAGATGTAACAAGGAGACCTACTGGCTCAAGGGATGGTGCCACCAAGAGAATTTTGGATTTTTTGACATTGCCTAGAAGAAGTATTTCTAGCAAGAGATGGGCTACACCTCAGAAGGACCAGGAAGAATGTGTTTGGAAAACAACTTGCCAGGCTCACCTAAAGAGCTTTAAACTAGGATTTAAAGGTAGGAGACCAATCTTTAAGACCAAATCCCAAGCATAATCCACAAGACAATGAATCAGACAATGAGAAAGGGAGTGAAAAGTAGGAAGGGAACCTACGTATAAAAAGGAAAGGTAGGAAGCAAATACAAGATCAATCATAATGAGCTTAGATTCTATACACTAATGCTCAGAGTTTGGTAACAAACAGAGAGAACTTGAAATCCTAGTACATGAAGGCAGGTACTTGTTGCTATTACTGAAAATTGTTGGGATGAGCCCCACAATTGGAACACACTGCTAGGAGGATATAAATTGTTCAAAAGAAACATGCCCCCCCAAAAGAAGTGTTGTGTTGTATGTAAGAAATCACTATACCTCTATAGAATGGATGAAAGTTTTCTTAAATGCATTTGAGTGAATATGAGAGGGAAAAAATGAATTGCTAAAGGTATGCACTACAGGTCAGTTAACCAAGCAGAGAAAATAGATGAACTTTTTGCTAATCAGTTAGCAAAAACAATATCTGGGAAAAGCCTAGAAAAGGTACTCAAGCAGATTTGTGAGCACCTAAAAATGAACAAAGCAATCTCTGGAAGCCAGCATGAGTTTGTTAAAAATAGATCTTATTCCCTTCTTTGATAAACTGGTTAAATTAGTGGATCAAGGAAATGCTATGGATATAGTATACTTGGACATCAGTAGTACATTTGACAAAGTAGACCACAGCCTATTTCTTGGTGTGTTAGAACAATATGTGATAGATAGTACCACTACTAGATGGATATGCAATTGGCTGATCAACTGCACTTAGTGTGTAGACCTTAATGGAATTACATCTACATGGAGGGAAGCATACAGTAAGCTCCTTCAAGATTTTGTCTTGGGCCAATGCTCTTCAACATCTTCATAAATGATCTAGATGATGGAACAAAGGAGAACTCATCAAATTTGCAGACTACAACAAACTAGGGGGAATAACAACTTGGAATATATGAATTATCAGAAGGATCTTAACAGACTTGAGCATTGGGCCCTATCTAACAAAATGAAATACAGTTCAATTGTGAGAAAAGTAAGATCCTGCACTTAGGCAGGAAAAACTAAATGCACAGGTATAGAATAGGCAGTACCTAGCTCAACATAGTAGTAACAGTGAAAGGAATTTTTGTGTCCTAGTGGACCATCACTTAAAATGAGCTAGCAGTGTGCTGAAATTACAAAAAAAAAAAAAAAAAAAAAATCAGTGCAGTCCTAGGCTGCACCAACAGAGGGATAACATCAAGATAACAAGAAGTGCCACTAGTGCCACTCTATACTACACTAGTGGGGCCACACTTGGAATATTGCATCCAGTTCTGCTCACCACTATACAAAAAAGACGTTGAGACCCTAGAAGAAAAATAGACGATAAGGGATCTAGAGACTAAAACATATGATGAATTCTTAAGGGAACTAGATATGCCTAGCCAAACAAGAGAATGACATGATAGGGATGACATGATAGCTATATTCTGGTACTTGAGGGGTTTCACAGGGAAAAGGAGTTGACTTATTCTCCAAAGCACCTGAAAGCAGGTCAAGAAGTGATGGGTGGAAGCTCGTTAAAGAGAGATCCAAACTGGAACAAAGGAAAAATTTCTTGACAGTAAGAATAATTAATCAATGGAATAGCTTGGCTCCTGGAGTTGTGAGAGCAACAACATTGCTGCAGGTCTTCAAGAAAAGATTGGACAGCCATTTATCTGGGATGCAGGTGGTTTCCTGCCTTGGGCTAGAAGATCTCCAAGAAACTTTCCAGCCCTATGATTCTATGACTTTGAAGTCACAAGGTGTGTTTGTCAAATCCAAGTATTTCATCTCCCATAAACTCACCAGCTCTTCCTTCAGCAAGTAAGGTATATGTGGCTGTTCCATTTTTCCACATAATATTAAATTATCTTAAAATGTTTAGCCTATGTTGCTGTTTGATGGGTTTGGGGTAAAAGGTGAGTGCTTGATTAGCACCATAATCTTAGCATAGTCAGTGTTTTACTATGGCAGGAAGAAGGAAACTCCACTTTCCCTTTTCTTGTCCATATGCAGGAGCAAACTCTACCCCCTGTCCTGAAAGCCACCTTTTACTTCTTCCTTATCTTTTATATTCTTTAGAGAGAAGCAATGAGGAAAAGCAACAGGAATGCTATAGCTGACCAGTGTTATTTCCTTAACTATCAATATTTACCAAGATCAAAGAATATAAAGGAGCCCAGAAGGAAAAATGTCTTCCCACATAGTGCATCTGTACCTGATATAAGGTTTCAAAACACGAGAAGTATAGGGACTGATAATGCTATGATCAGTCGTATCTTCAGAGCCTACAAGTCGGCACCAAAATGTTGTCGTTCTATGTTGGAACTCTTTCACAGCAGAAACCTTAGTCTGTAAACAAAATTAAAAAATAACTAAGTTAAAGAAATAGTCAGGAAATAAAATCAGTGATATGGCTAATACCAATGATTAATCAGATATGGCAGATATATGTGATGACATCTAATATTAAGCAGAACAAGAGAATTTTAATATACAGAGATGACATAGGTATACAAAATAGCAAGAAGTTGCATGCATCTACAGAAACCAACTATTCAATAAGTGGTCTTATACATATAAAATCAATCTTACTTTGATGCCCAATATTGGGGAAGATAAAAAGATGAGTAAACAATTCTTAATTGGTGACACTACAGGGACAAGAAAACTATCAGCAGCAAATTACAAATAAATTTACTGTTTTTATTTTTATATATTTATTGCACAAAAGTTATTCTCAGGATATGTTTACCTTTGACTGGGAAACAGAAACATCTCTACAAGTGACTGGAAGAAAATTTATAATACCTGGAAATAGGATGGTAGTCTACAAAATATTACAAATTTGGAACATCTACACATTCTTCCTTTATCAGGAAAATTGGCAGTCACCTTCCCATTTACATCAACATTTGAAAAGAGAATCATGAAATCCCTACCATCCTAAGAAACTTAGAAATAGAAAGGGGTCCTAAAATAAACATAAACAGTTGTCAAAATTCCCATGACGTAACACCCATTTTTCTTTTTTGATTAGATTATACTGTGAGAATCTAGCTTTCTTGGTTGTGAACAGCTGCTGGAAACCAAGTTGCCTCCATCTGTTTTGATTTGTAACTTTGAGGAATTATGGAAACTGCAGTTCAAATTATCTAGAGGGTGCCAGTGTGCCCACCCCTAACCCAAGTTCTCCTTGAGAAGAATTTTTTTTTCTGGTTTTGTTTTTGTTTTCCAAAAGTAGAGGACCATCTTTCTTTTCTGCTCTGCCATGGCACAGAACTATACTTTGATTTCCTTCTCATTCCTCAAAAATGCTTCTGCAAATAATTACCATAACCTCAACATAATTTACATTGCTATAGTCTGAAGCAAGCTTGGGAAAAACTTTAGTACTGAACAACACATCATTTTGCCATTGACAGGTTGTTCTCAACTTATAACCATTCATTTAGTGACCAAAGTTATAATGGCACTGAAAAAAGTGACTTATGACCACTTTTTACACTTATGACATGACCAGCATCCCCGTGGTCATGTGATCAAAATGCATACACTTGATAGCTGGCATTATTTATGACAGTTGGAGTGTCCAGGGAACATGTGATCACTTTTGCAACCTTCTGACAAGCAAAGTCAATCGGGAAGCCAGATTCACTTAACAACTGCAGTGATTCACTTAACAGCTGTGGCAGGAAACGTAAAACACATTTAACAACTATCTTGCTGAGCAATGGAACTTTTGGGGCTCAATTGTGGTCGTAAATCAAGGATACCAAAAGGATAGCAGAAACATTTAATAATATTTTATCAGCATAAACCATGGGATTAACAGAATGTGTTTCACAATGTTTCAGTTATTTCTAAAATTAAGGAATAGCAATTATGAAATCCACTAGGACTAGAACAGATAAATATAAAACACATGAAAAGTCATAAGTTTTTTTAAAAAAAGAATAATGGCTACTTCCCTAAAAGGCTTGAACAATCATCATGATAGTATCAGTGGCTCATTGGTCTAGACTCTAGTGATATGATTCTCGCTTTGGGTGGGAGAGATCATGGATTCATATGAGCCCTTGGACACTAAGCTTCCTGAAAGTATGGGGAGCAGAGGTGTAACAACTTCTCTCCTCACCAATGACCAGAAACAATCTCTTCAAAAGTTTTTTTAAAAAAAACCCTAAACAAGCACAGAATTGCACCCACAGGAAAATAACTAACTAAATACTAGACTTGGAGAAAAGACTTTGTGGGAAACAAAGTTTTACTTGGATGCAAAGTTTTATTCTGATGAGTTCAGCTGAGTAGCATAGATGTCAGCACTTTGTTGGGAAGAGAGGAGCAAAACTGTTGGCAAAGATGTTTTTTCTCCACCCAAGTGCTACATATTTGTAAGGATTTATAAGGATTATAATCTCTGAACTGTACTTTATATTTTATATGAAACTAATAAAGGTGAATATTTGTAGCTCAGGGTTGACATGAGGTATTCTCTGAGCTTGCTTTTTTTCTTGCAGACATTTCATTACCCAAACTAGATAATCTCATCAGTGCTAGTAAGGAGTGCAATTTGCTATCAGTTTATATTCTGGTGGCATGCCCTGTCAGTGTTGGTGGGAGTGGTCTTAGAGATTTTTTGGTTGTGCTGTTTAGTGTTTACTCTTTGGCAGTTTCTTGAGTGGAGTATTGTTTACTTGATTGTTGGTCTGATGTTAACCTTGGAGTTAATTTATGCTGATCTGGGTGCTGACTGCTGGTGGAGAGGTGCTTGGGCCTTTTTGTTCTTTTTTGGGCTGGGCCTCTTTTGCATAATCTATAGAAGTTATTAATGTGTTTGTGTCTATTGATGGCTGATTTGTCAGAGTGCCAGGCTTCTAGAAATTCCCTAACGTTTTTTGGACTTGGCTTGGTCTAGGATAGTCACATTTTCCCAGTTGAAACTATGGTTAAATCTGTCTATATGTTGTGAAATTAAAGAATTTTCATCATGTCTTCTGACTGCTAATTGATGTTTGTGGATGCATTCTGCCAGTCTTCTGCCTGTTTGTCCTACATAGTGCTTGTTGCAGTCCTTACATTGTACGTTGTAGATAACTCCTGTTTTTTCTTATGGGATTGTTGGGGCTTTTGGTCTACTTAGGATGTTTTGAAGGGCTTTAGTTGGCTTGTGTGCTATGCTGATTCCATGTGGTTACAGGTGTCTGTTGGTGGTTTCTGAGATATTCTTCATGTATGGAAGTGTAATTCTTTTTAGGGTTCCGGGTTGTTGCAGTGTGTCTGGGCTTGTTTAGATGAAGTCCTACACAGCTTCTCTGGAAGAAGGTTGGCTTGTTCCTTTGGTAGTGGAGAACCTGGTTAGTATAGGTGGTTTTTCTTGCATTTCTAGTTTGCCATTGTGGTCTCTGCTGATCAAGTTTAGGAAGGTTAGCAAGTTGTTGTTTTCTTCTTCTCTAGTAAACTGGATTCCTTTAAAAATGTTAATGGTTCTTTGGGTATTCTCTAATTGGTCCTTTTTGATTATGGTGAAGGTGGTGTGTATATATCTGACCCATATTTTTAGTTGTATTTGTGTAAGTGCTATGGCTACTAGATGTTGCATGACAACCTCCGCTATAAGTCCTTTAATTTGTGGTAAATTTATCAAATTGGAACTATGTAGTTAGGCAGAGGTTTATGAGATCTGTAATCCTCAGTGTTTCAATCTTCATGTATTTGATTAAGTCAGTTGTGTGGTGGAGCAATGCAGTCATGGATTCTTTGACTAATTCTGGATCTGTAGACATGAATAGGGCTGTGACATCAAATGAGACCATGATTTCATCTTCATAGCATCCCTGATTGTTTGAAGACACTGTAGTGGAGAATTAATGGAGTGTTTGCTTCTTCTTGTGAGTTGCCCAAGTTTTTTTGTTAATTCTTTTGCAATGTTGTATGTAGGGCACCCTGATAGTAATGTGATTGAATAGAGGGGTATGCCAGTTTGTGTATTTTGGGGCGTCTATAGAAACATGGGAGAATGGGTCAGCCGCTTCTCATCCGCCAAAGTTCCTCTTTAGTAATTTGGCCTTTCTTAGTGAGGTTACTGACGGTTCTCTTGAGCTAGTTATCTACTTTTTGTATTCAGTTAGGGTTGACTGGGATGTAGATTTCTTTGTCCTTTTTCTTTTTGAAAGTATTGTGCTCTGTCCATAATAATTATGGTTTGGCCTTTGTCTCCAGGTAGGATGATGATGGTCTGGTTCTTTTTTACCTTTCTGAGGGCTGCTTTGTCTTCTGTTGTAAGTGAATTCTGTTCTTGTCAACTTCTGATCTGTGGAATGATGCTTTGTCTCATGTCTGCAAGAAAAGGAGCGTTGGTTTACCTGAACGGCTCTTCTCAGCATGATGATGAAGAATCCACCAATGGGTTATTTCAGTCCTCCTGCCCAATCAGACTAAGTTGTCAAGTTGTCACGCCCCTCCTTGACTGGAACCTCCCAGTTTCATCGACGGCGTAGCCAATGACAACATTTTGACGTGATGACTCCCAGACAGGTACAAGGAAAAAAACACAAGCCCCTGGCACGGACCTAACTGACCTCTATAGGGGAGGGCGTGGATTCTTCATCATCATTCTGAGAAGAGGCGTTCAGGTAAGCCAACGCTCCTTCTCCAGCATGATGACTGAAGAATCCACCAATGGGACGTACCAAAGCTCCTGGAGTCCCTATGGGCGGGAGTCAGTTGGGGCCTGTGATCCTGATGGTGTCACTACCTGTTGTAGAATACGCTTGCCAAAGGCGGCCTCAGCGGAGGCAAATTTGTCCAAATGGTAATGCCTAATGAAAGGGGAAGGCGAAGACCATGTCACCGCCCTGCAAATATCCTCAAAGGATGCCCACACCGCCAATGTGGCAGCACTGCGGGTTGACTGAGCCGCCACATGACTAGGAATGGGCAGGGCAAGTGATATGTACGCACCTGTAATGCAAGCCCTGATCCACCTACCTATGGTGGAGGCTGACACCTTTTGGCCCATGAAGGCTGAAAGGATACGAACAGGGCTTCAGACTTACGGAAGGCCGCCGTGCGTTTGATATAACATTACAAGGCTCTCCGTACATCCAATGAGTGCCATCGCTGTTCCAAGTCATGTGAGGGGTGAGGACAGAAGTCCGGGAGAATAACCTCCTGTGATCTATGGAACACAGTGTTTATTTTAGGAATAAATGAGGGATCTAACCCAAGAACCACCCTGTCCTCGTGCACAGGTCCTTCCTGATCGATAAAGCGGCCAGTTCCTATATGCGCCTGGCAGAGGTAATGGCTATAAGAAAGGAGACCTTAAGTGACAGGTACCGCAAAGAACA